GCCAACAGCCAAACATCGCCACTCTCTCTCTCTCTCTCACTCTCACTCTCTCATTCATTCATTCATTCAATTCATTCATTCATTGATTCATTCAGTCCATAGCGGCGCCTTTGCTCCAATGAAAAGGTTCCTTCCTGTCCCAGTGCACTGACGCGACTGGTCCCACTGATCAGCTGAGAGGAGGGGGGAGTGAGGAGGAGAGAGAGGAGGGAGGGAGGGAGAGAGTGGGGATGGGAGTTGGGGAGGGGGAAGAGGAGGGAGTAGAGGAGAAAGGGGGGAGATAGGGGGGAGCAGAGGGAGAGAGAAAGGGGAAGGAAGGGAAGGGGTGGAGAGAGAGGGCAGGGAGAGAGGAGGGACGGGAAGAGGATGGGGAGGGAGAGCGAGGAAGGAGAGGACCCCCTCAGCCATTGTCACCAGCTCCCTATGACCCCACGCCCCCACTCACCCCAGCTCGGGTTCCCAGCCCGTTGAGTGAAGGCCTTTGAGCCGTGTTCGCAATGTGAAGGCGCTATATAAATGTAACGTGTTGTTGAGTGCTAACGTATCATCACAGATACACCATTATTCAGCACTACATGTGCTAAGAATCCTGGCTTTAGCTACTCTATACTGACGAGATGTCCACCTGGCTCACTCAGGGGCACTCTCACCTTTGCGTCAGAAGGTTTTGGGTCCAAGCCCCGTGTCAGACCTTTGAGCTCATGGGAAGAGGGAGATCTCTTAGCGAGGAGGTAGAGCGATCTCTGGAAGGAGCGTTTTTATAAGCCTCGTTTAACATCCTTTGTAGCTGGGAAGTGGGAAGAACAATGGCAACAGCAACTTGTCTTGATATGTTTACGACAGAGCATGTTCAGTAACTCGTCTATTTAAAGCCACTTCTTTAGGCCAAGTATTCACGCCTCATCAGACTGGCTCAGTTGGTAACACTCTCGCCCCCAAACTCAAAGGGTCGTGTTTTGAAGCCCCATGATTGTTAGTTGATTGGTGGATCGCTTTTCTGGGGGTAATAATCCCTTGAAACCCCGCCCCCCCCAAAATAAATAAATTTAATAATTTGGTCACTTAAGTCAGGACTGTTTGTGGAAAACTGCTGTGAGCAATTGGCTGCCGCGTTTCGCCCATAACGTATAGTCAATTCACTTGACAGTATATTCTGTGCAGCGCTTTGAGACGTCTCGAAGACGTGTTAAGGCGCTGTATCAAATGCAAGGATTATTATTATAATGGGACTTTGTGACTTGCCTTACGTTGATAATAATAATAATAATCCTCGGGAGGTGTCTGGAGATGGAAATACTTCAATTGTGGGCGTCTCTTCTTCGCTCATGGTTCTGTGGTCTCCCAGAGACCACCGACTCTCACCCCAAGCAGCTGAAACAATGCCAGGCTCCTTTTACGCCAGGGCTTGTGACCCTGATATTGGTGGCCCTGATGGAAGGCATTATTCCTATTGACAGGGCACAATATTCAATTTGTAACCCAGTAACCGCTTGTCCCCATGGCTACCGAGTGCTGCTGTTTGTACAGAAGATATATGTGTGCTGGTCTGCACCAGGCACCTGATGCCGTCAAACCTCCTTGACACACAAAACAGGCAGGAAACTCAGCTTTTTATAATTCGAGGCTGCGAGTTACAATGGGTTCATTTTTAAGACGCTCTTCATTCAATTAAGAGGAAAACACATACACATCGCCAACTCCGGCTACAAGGTGGATACGTGAATAATCCCTTTTTTTAAAAAAAAATAACAGTACAAATTTGGTGACTCAATCCACAACTGTTTGTGGGGGGGGGGGTGGGGGGTGGGGGGGCGCTTCTGTGCGCGATTGCCTGTCACATTTCGCCCACATATACACAGTCAGTCCACTTGACATTATGTTCTGCGAAGCGCTTTGAGACATCTCAACGATGTGGTAAGGCGCTTTACCAAGTGCAAGGATTATTATCACTACTAGGTAACCAGAAGGGTGTGGAATAAGGAAACTTGCCTAACATTTCATCCGCCTGAAAACCCAGGTCCTCTTGCTTGCGAGGCGAGTGCTCTAACTAACCACTGAGCTACAGAATCTTAACAACTTTTCCTAAACTCTGCTCAGTTTCAATTGGAAGATAATGGTCTTAAGACTCAGAGCGTGAGAATTGGGGGGGGGGGCTATCAGACAGGAGGCCAAGAAGGCTCTGGAACCCTATCCTGCGTGAGGGGCGCTATATAAACACAAGTTGTTGTTGCTGTTGTTGTAACCTTGATAAGTTTCCAATCTCTGGAGAGTTCAACAGTCAGACAGAGAGAGAACATGAGAGAGATGTGGAAGGAATCCAGTGCACAACCAAAGAGCATGGGAAGAGCAGCCTGGACTGTGGGACCATCCCTTGCCCTCGAGAGAGGATACCAGCCGTACAGCCCATCTCCGCCTGGTTCCATGGTGACCGTGGCTTTCGATTGTTATTGTCAGTGTGGTGTAGTAACAGTCTACAGCCATGGTTGTTTGGACAGGAAGCAACCTGCCGCGACTCCGCTCCAGTCCTGAATCAATGTGTCTTACATGGGAAACCTGAATACTTTGCACTGTATTAACGATCCTTCCATTGATCCAGTTCCTATAACTCCCAAACAGCTCAATGCACTTCGCAGGGAATAGCTGTCAAGTGTAGCGACTGTGTTTACAGACAAATGGGCACAGGGATATTTGTGCATAGCAATGTCTCACAAGCAGCCAAAAGTGAATGGCCAATTTATCTGGAGGATCATTGGCCAAGGATACCAGGAGAAACTTCCTTCTGTTGTAGCAGCTTTAATGTCCACCTGAACAGGCAGACAGAACTTCAGTTTAAGGAATTATGACCCCCGCAAAAGTGATCTGCCAATCAACTAACAACCGTGTTCCTACTTACTGATGGTAAACAGAGTCGTGTGTGTGAAGTAAGAAAACCTGCCTAAAGTTTTGTCCTGTTCAAGAATCAAACTGGGGTCCTTTCGCTTGCGCGGCGAGTGCTCTAACCATTAGGCTATAGCACTCCATATGCAGGTTGGTGAGGTGTCTTTGGCTTTAAGCTGGTTGTGAGTTGACGGTTGACCAGTCTGTCTGGTGGGGACGCCCAGGGGGTTAGATGTCGGATGGGGTAAGGGTGTGGAACACAGTGAGTTGATGGGGGGGGGGGGATTCTACAGGAGGCATGTGGGTTGTGGACTTCTGGATGCTCTGGAGTTTGTGAGTAGAGTTGGGAGGCTGGTAAGGAGGCATTGGACATGGTATAAGCAGGAGCAGAGCAACACGCAGAGAGGAACAGCGAGGATGATATGAAGAGCGATGAGTACGAGAGGGAGGGGAGCTTCTGTGACATCACCCCCAACGCAAGGCTGAAAACCCTCAAAGGCTAAGTATATTTTACTCCAATTATCCAAATACTAATATTAATATTGATAATATTAATCGATCAATTGTCAAATTAATGGACGTCATAATTTGATACTCGATTCTTGGAACACTCTATGATTTGCTGCTCCCTGCCGGCTAACGCTTAATGAGGTCTCTGTTACCCTTCACCACACTGTATCTTTCTCTCAATCCTATCATTGTCTCCTCCAATCCCCTCCCCACTCCAACAAGCTCGGCTCTTTCCCTTGTGTTTGGCTGCCACACCTGACCCGAGCAAATTTTGGGGTGGGAGGGCGCAGAAATTGGATTCAGCTGCGATTTCCCTCCGTCCATCCCATCCCCATGATTTTCACTGTCCAGCCTCAGACATGTGGCTATTCAGGTGAGGTGGGGGCATGAGGTGTGGGGGGAGGAAGTGTGAGTTTGTGAAGGGCGCTATATTAATTGGAAGTTGTTGTTGTTGTTGCAGGCCGCTCAACCTCTATAAACTCTGGTGTGACACTGACAGGTGTGCCCACAGGCAGACAGACCCACTTGCTGTGAACGTTTCTGGTAAAGAGGTCTGTAGAGCATCTTACACCCACAGACCACCCCCCCACCCCATACACACATACACACACACCAGCTTAATCTGAAGCAAAGATCAGAGATGTGGTGTCTGGGCCATGGTTTCCTAGAACCGAGGAGGTGAGCGAACCAGTTGGTGCCTCTGGTCAGACCTCAACCTCTGGTCACAGCCCAGATACCCTGGGCCTGTGTCACCGGCTTCCAACCGTCACCATCACCACATCCTGTCCGTTCATGACGGGAGCAGGAGCTTGCACTGGAGGTGAGCGAGAGAGATTTTCCACCCAACTCAACCGTTACAACTGGGTCTCTTGTGTGGGGACTGTTTTATTGTGTGTTTGTGGGTGGGGGGGGGGGGGGGGAGTAGATGAAACAATGTTCCACATAAAGCAATTGGCAAACTGTTTCTCCCCTCACCCCCACCCCCAAACTATGAACATTTCACAACGGTTTTATATCAGGAGGAGTAGCAGAGCCCCGACACCTCTCACTCAACCCAGAGACCGTGTTGTGTCTCTGGATTTGAGATGCAACCAGACAGGACAGTAGAACAAGAGGGAGACCACGGGTTTAGTGTTGTAAAGGGGGCAATTTCAAGGCAGCAAGTGTTTCTTTAGCCAAAGGGTAATCACTGAATGGAACAGGTTATCGCTGAGGCCAGGACACTGGACTCATATAAAAAGCAGCTTGATGCACTGATTTGATTGGGGGGGGGGCGAGGGTGGGGGTGTGGGGGGCAGTTGGGTGGGTTTTCTGGAAGGATGAGATCCGAAGAGCCTTCTTCATCCAAACAAATCTTGTGATCTTGTGACCAACCCCCCTCCACCTCACCACCACCACCACAAATACACAACAAGAACTTGCATTTATATAGTGCCCTTCACACGAGGTAAGGATCCCGGAGCGATTACACACACACACACGTTATTCACCATGGGCCACTCTCCCCGGCACAGTCGGTGTTTGGTGGTGAAGTCGGCGTGACTTGCCTCTCTGAACTGTAGGAGTTTATGTGCTGACCCACTGTCCACAGCACATAAACTCTTACTGTTCTGTGAAACCAGCCGAGTTTGTCCATCAGTGTCGGTCGCTGGCGGTCCATCGGCCTCAACCTGTGAAGACAAACAGCACCTGTGGTCAGTGTTCCCACCCTCCAAATCCCCACGTTTGTCTAGGAAGACACAGTCACCACACTCGAGAGAATCCTGTGAATGCGCTTAGAGACGTTTTGACAACGAGATAACGGCGCGAGACCAAATACAAAGATGGTTATCCACTTTGATTCTAACCAACGCTATTTGTAAAGTGTTTATTCCCAGGACGACAACAGTAACTTGCATTTACACAGCGCCCCTCACTCGGGGTAGTGTCTCCGAGCGCTTGGTCTTCCTCGTTCCTCTTCGACCACATCTGAAAATGGGGAAGGAGGGGGCAAGGTGGAAGGATCGAGGGAACGAGTTCCAGAGTTCGGGGCGTAGTGACCGAAAGCGCGGCCGTTTATTTTTTACGCAGTTGGCGCTATAAAAAGCAAGTTATTTTTCTTCCCTCACCTCTACCCCCTCCTCGCTCCCTCCCTTCCCTCCCCTCACCCTGACCATTTCCCCCCAATGCTCGGGTCCTGACCCAACCGTACAGCGCCTTGGGACGTCCTCCCGACGTGAAAGGCGCTCTATAAATGGAATCTTGTTGTTGTTGTTGTAGTGCACCTTTGGCTGGAGTCATTTTTTTTTATATGAAGCTCTCGGGAACCGGCTGAAAGGGGGAGCGAGCCCTGTATAACTTGCTTATTGGGTTAACCGCAGGCTATTTGGTTAACCGCAGGCTATTTGGTTAACCGCAGGCTATTGGGTTAACCGCAGGCTATTGGGTTAACCGCAGGCTATTTGGTTAACCGCAGGCTATTTGGTTAACCGCAGGCTATTTGGTTAACCGCAGGCTATTGGGTTAACCGCAGGCTATTTGGTTAATTGCAGGTTTCAAACACTTTGCCTGCTGTCCGCAGAATCCAGCAGCTTCCTTCGAACAAGGCACGAGGGGCTGTAACTAGTGCCTAATGGTAGATTTATTGAACCGCTCAGATTGTGAACGCGACCAGTTGACCCTGTGCCACCGAATGCCACTCAGCCCTCACGCAACACAGGACATCATTGGGGGCCAACTCCTCTCCGGTGGGGTCGCACTGCCGCCCTGTGGCACAATAAGGTATTGCACGCACCTTTCGTTTAACGCAGCACTCTTTTTACAACAACAACAACAACAACCAGATCGCACTTATAGAGCGCCTTTCACGTCGGGAGGACGTCCCAAGGCGCTGGACGGTTGGGTCGGTACCCGAGCATTGGGGGGAAATGGTCAGGGTGAGGGGAGGGAAGGGAGGCAGCGAGGAGGGGGTAGAGAGTCGAGAGGGGAGCTGAAGGCACGGTTGAAGACAATACTTTTAATCCTCTTATTTGCCACAGCCCCCGGTCGCATCCTGCTTGTCCCCGTCCCCTCCACCGTCCGCGGCCGTGCTTTCAGCCGCTGCGCCCCAAAACTATGGAACCCCCTCCCTCAATCCCTCCGCCTCGCGCCCCCCACCCTTCCCCTTTTTCAGATCATGCCCGAAGAACGTCCTCTTCGATCGTGCAGATGGTCACTTCCCCCTCCCCGTGGCTAGGCTTTGGGCTCCGTCACTGTTGAGCGCTGCGAGACACTACCCTGCCTGAAGGGCACTGTGTAAACGCAAGTTGTTGTTGTTGTTGTTGTTGGGAGCCATTGATTACCTTAAATACTCCAATGTCTTTGCTGAAAGTTATACAGTGAACGGTTTATAGTGTAAATTAGGTAAGCGGGAAGCATCCCTCCAGGGAGAGAGTGCAGTGCGCATTCCATTCCGACAATCTATTCCTGGGATCTCAGTGGAAATCTGTTTGCTTTCGAGACCGTTAAGCACGGTGATGAGTTTCCGCATGTGCCAGACACCCAACTGACCGTCAAAACAGATCAGTTAGAGCGTGACTGTGCAGAGACGTTGCGTATTTACTGTGTGACCGTCTCCTGCTCACGGTCAGGATGACCGAGGCCCTCAGAGTGTTAACAGTGAAGTTTGGGCCAGAGTCAACCTGGCAGCAATCTCCTGTAGTAAAAGAACAGACTGTCCCACACAACAGGAAGTGCCAGAGTCGTTTCATCAGCCTCACAGCTTCCAAACCCTCCCCTTCTCCAATCACTCCACACTCTGCCTCGCCAGTGTAGCCTTCGAAGAGACGTGTGCGCCAATCTGGGAGCAAACGTCGGAAAAAGCGCAACCGCTCCCGCCCCAGGGTCACCCTGCCCTGCCTCACTCTGCACGCAGCACCCCAAACCGTCTCCGCCCCAGTACAGTCCCTGATCGTAAACAGTTGGAAATACTGTCAATACTGGATACGAATTCACAGGCTGGGCATCACTCGCTGTGTCACTGCGCAGACTCGCTGTTTCCACACAGAGTGAGTGACGGTATAAATAATAAAATAATTAATATTATTTAGTCGCAAATTTAATCCGAAGAGTCTCAGTCATAATCCACGACTGTGTGCGGGGACGCTGCTGTGCGCAATTGGCTGCCGCGTTTCGCCCACAAGATACACAGTCATTACACTTTACAGTATGTTGTGCGAGGGGCTTTGAGACGTATCGAAGACGTGATACGGCGCTGTATCAAATGCAAAGATTATTGTTATAAAGGGAGCCGCAGTCAGCGGGTGCAGTGTAATATTTACCTCTTCAATCTCACGGTAACCACACCAGGTCACAAGCAAAACAGTCAACAGCAATTCGCATTCCAAAGAGCTGCCACAGGCACGGTTGGCCGAATGGCCTCCTCCTGTGCTGTAATATTCTATGATTCTATGGTTTATGTAGGGCCCCTCACGCAGGGTAGTGTCCCAGAAAGCTTAACAAAAATTATCTCAAAACAACTGGAATAAATGTTTCTGGAGAGTGCCCTTTAAGGAGTAGCTGAGCCAGTGCCTTGTGACTCGAGCACATTCCAGTTCATGTCACACGATCCGAGCTGCTCCCTCCTGAAGCTTTCCCACAAGATTCACTCTGATCTGCAACTGTGACCGGCTCCGAGCTGCGGAGGGAGTAGTGGAAAGACCCTCACCCACACCTGCTCCCCCAGCAATTACATACACTGTGTCCCCGACACACAGACAGACAGAGACAGATACTCAAGAGACACAGATATGGACAGACACCCAGACAGACACATCCTTAGAGAAACACCCAGAGATACACACCCGTGAGAGGCAGACAGACGGACAGAGAGACACCCAGAAAACTTCAGACGGACATTGCCCATAGAGGCAGACAGACCAGGGGTAAGAGAGAGAGAGAGATTGCCCACAGAGAGAGACTCACCACTGTGCTGTCACCCTGTCGAGGTGCGTAATCCCAGATCCAGTCAGTCCTGCCTCATATGACAGCTTCTCACAGCCCTGCGCTGAGAACGTAGCAGCCTGTCCCAGAGCCGTTCACCATTAACCACAGGGCAGTGACCTCAGATGTCTGCCCTGCCTGCTGCTGGCTGTGTCCCCAGGAGCAGGCAGTGGGTACCCCAGGCTATAAGTACTGTTGGAGGCTGTTGCCTGGTCTCCGCCTCTATCCCAGCCCCAAACTGCACTCATACAGAGCGCGAGAGAGAGAGGCGGGGAGGCACAGTTACACAAGACTGAGAGACACCCAGCCCTGAGCTGCGAGACGGGGAACATTTCTGTGGGGGGGAGAAGAGCCATCCTTCCCATTTAAACCAGGCAGGAAATGGCTGTAACAGATTCCAGATGATCAGACATGTGTGACAGTTCCTGGCTGTGCTGTGAGCCAGGACAGAGCTCTAAAAAATAATAATAATAATAAATTGGTCACTTCAACCCACGACTGATTGCGGGACGCTGCTGTGCGCAATTGGCTGCCGCGTTTCGCCCACAAAATATACAGTCAATTCACTTTACAGTGTATTCTGTGAAGCGCTTTGAGACGTCTGGAAGAGTTTGGGACATATGTGCATGCGACTGCCAGGAAGTCGGAAGGCGAATTAGATGGACCTTGGTCTTTCTTCGTCTAACATTTCTTATGTTCTTATGGTATAAGCAGAGTGACTGTATTTTGTTGGCGAAACGCGGCAGCCAATTGCGCACAGCACTGCCCCACAAACAGTCGTCGTTGTTGTCCACCGTGTCGCTCACTGGGGCAAGGAATAATGGAACCCATGCACATCGCAGAGCAGAACACGCAGGGTTAACTGCGGGAACCAGTTGTAGGGTTGGGAGTCGGGAGCTCAACAGCAGAGGGGTTGGGTATCACGGAGTTATTGAGTGGGGGCTGGGGAAAGCGAGGCTGTGGATCGAGGCCAGGAATAACAGATGACTGTGAGTCAGAGAGTACACAGAGTTCTGCGGTTCTCTTGTTTATGCTCTCGATTGCCTGCCTGGCCCTGGGACCAAGTCAGAGCGGACGGTGGATGCCAGGAATTCCGAGTCGGTGACAGTCACTGGGCACAAACCAAACCGGGAGCGAGCGATTCCGGAACGAATGTGTTGTTCAGCCTCAGCTCCCGCCTGAAAACAACACTGACAACTCGCATTTATATAGCGACCTTCACGTGGGGCAGCGTCGTGAGGCGCTAGGAGTAATAATAATAATAAATAACAACAATAATCCTCATGTTTCACGTAGTAACTTTTCACGTCAAAACGCGGTTTTAGTGTAAACTGTCTATCTGTGGACAAACATAAAAAAACAGAAACGGTGGCACTCATTTACCCCAGAAAGTGCTGCACTAATCAGCTAACACCCAGTTCCTACTTACTGCTGGGCAAACAGAGGTGCGTGTGTGGAGTAAGCAAACTTGCCTGAGGTTTCGCCTCGCCCGCTTTCTCAGCGCATTGGATCCGCAGCTTGTCGCATGTGTGAAGAAGCATGTTATAATAATAATAATACTTGCATTTGATCGAGAGCCCTATCACGTCGTAGAGGCGCTTCACAGGATATACTGCAAAGTGGAGTGCCTGTATTTTGTGGGTGAAACGCGGCAGCCAGTCGCGCACAGCAGTGTCCCAAACAGTCGTGGGTTTTTTTTTTGCTGGTGGGGGGATTATTAACCTCAGAAAGCGAACCTTGTGGCGGGGGGGGAGGGTGAAAGAAAAGCCCTGGAAACTTCCTTAGCTCGGAGAATCACAAATTGCGGAGGGGCAACCAGTGGAAGTTCTCCAGAACTCGGTGGGTTAATGAGCCCAGCTCCCCGGTGGCTTTAAAAACTCCAGAACATTCTGTACCAACACGTGGAACTGATCATATTAAGAATGAGCCTGGCCCGAGCTCAGTCTGAAAATTATTATTGATGCACGAGGGGAATAACAGAGAACAGACGGTGGTGAGGAGTGGGAGAGAAGTGGGCTCACAGAGTGAATCCTTCCGTCTGCTGTGCTGACGAGCTCCACAAATATTCAGGGGCTCTCAGGATCCCAGTAGCTCTGCGTTTGCTAATCAGACCAGAGGCAGAGACAGCGTGTCTCACTGTCCAGCTATCAGAGTACTTACTCCAGCTTCAATACACCCAGTGCCCGTCACACCCACAGTGTCTGCGACCTCTTAAAACTTCACCTTCCTGCCCACTCCCTCCGCTCTGCAGGCACTGGTCCTGCTCCACGACCCAACGTGAAAGGCGCTGTGTAAATGCAACTTGTTGCTGCTGCTGCTGTTGTCACACACAGTGCCCGTCCCATCCAATGCCCATTGCACTCACAGTACCTGTCATTACGGTACTCATTGCATCCCACAGTACTGGTGTTTTTTTTGGCTCCACTTCTATCATTGTGTCTGTGTGTGTGTGTGTGTTACTGTCTGTCTGAGCCAGCAGTCACAGTCCTGTGGTCTCTGTGACTTTTATCCAAGTCCTGGAGTTTGCTTCTCTTTACAAACAGATTCCCAGTATCAGATTATGGCAGTGAGTCCTCAAGTGGAGCAGAGTATTATAACAGTTTAGGATGACTTGGCAAGGCTGCAGGTGGGGAATGTGAACATGAGCAGCTCACAGCAGTGTGAAAACGCTGCTCGGTCGCTCTCCAGGCACGAATTACACTGAACGAACAAAACAACAACAAAAATAATAATAAAGTAACTCAATCCACCACTGTTTGTGGTGACGCTGCTGTGCACAATTGGCTGCTGTGTTTCGCCCACAAAATATAGAGTCAATTCACTTTACAGTGTATTCTGTGAAGAGCTTTGAGACGTCTCGAAGACATGTTAAGGCGCTGTATCAAATGCAAGGATCGTTATTATTATTAATATGGAAAATGAGAGCAAATGAGCTGAAGGGCCTTCTTCACCTGCAGCTGCCTTGTGAGTCGATGAAACAATATTACTTAAACATGATCATATTTGAAACTGCAACTGCGCTCTAATTTGTAATTTCAATCTATAATTGGCAAAAATTACCACGTGGGATTAAAGTGAAACTGTGACCATTCAGCTCAACAGTAAATCTCGGCTCAATTAGATTCCGACTTGTAATTTATCTCCTGGGATCCATTATTCCGAGTGTAAGTATTCCATACATAATCCACTTAAACCCACGGATTGAATTCCAGGCTTGGTTGACTGAATGGCCAAGTCTCAAGCGCTTTGAGACGTCTCAAGGGCATAATAAAGCGTTTTAGGAAATGCAAATATTATTATTATTATAACGTCTCACTCCAAACTTTGGTGCTCCAGTACAGCCTAACCACACCTCGACTGGAATCATTTCACCCCCCCTCCAATACCGCGGCGGCTAAAAAGACCAGCATCGCTTGCTCTGTTGGTTTTCATCCTTTTAATGACAGACCATTAATTCAGTCCAGAAAGTGGCCGCTTTGTAAAACCGGCTTTTAGCAAACATTGACATAGTGATCCTGATAAATGATTTCACCACTGTCCACTGAAAACTGGGATATCTTCATAGATCCAAACGTAGGAAAGTTGTGTAGCCTCCCCTCCTCCCCCCGCCACCCCTCAGAGCTTCATCGAAAATCTTGACACCAAGAGAAGCCACGTTTTACCAGCTGTATCCCGCAGGGGGCGCCTTGTCATCTTTATTGCTCTCCAGGGAGAAGGGTGGGATGCGAATGTCAAGCTGAGACCCATCCGGCCTCTCAAATCGGAACGTCCCCCTGCGAAGAACAAGGTGAGAGCACGGCGGGTGAGACGGGATTTTACAGTCGGGTCCAAACCTGATCACATTCCCGTGGACTGGTTTGATTGACTGCTACGTCCTACCCTCCCTCCCCTCCTTCGCAACCCTGCACCACCTCCTGATCCCAACTCCCAGGTCGAGCCCCAATCCCTGACTGTCCAGCGCCACGGGATGTCCTCCCGACGTGAAATTACACGTGTAATTTGTTGTTGCTCAGGGTGTGAAGTCATGTTACCGAATGCGAGACACATATCCAAGCACCGGTTCTGATCTAAAGTCTATACTATGTACACTGACGAATTTGCTCTAACCTTACACAGTATATTCACTTTATATTTCTTTTAAAAATATAAACAAATGATATTTATCGACAATTTACCTTCATTTTTCTGGTATTTTTTTTCATTTTTACCATTTTCATTTCAGTCTGAGAAGTTCATCTGTTTCAGTCCTTTTTTGTTCCCTTCTTTCAAACCCCTCCCCACCCCCCCCTTTAAAACCCAATACCACATTTTGAAACCCAGTCCACCATTAACTTTACCATTACAAACCAAAAGACGCTATAGAAATATAAATTTGTATTGTAAATGTGTATTTATCAATGTGAGCCCTTGTCACAAGCTTTATAAATGCAAATATATATCAACTCCGAGTATTACTCTGGACCACTATATCAGTTACATCTCTTATATAAAAAAACTGGTAGGTTAAACACGACTGTACAGCTATACACAATGTGGCTTATGTTGCCACCTCCAGTTAGTCAAGAAGATAGACTCATAAATACTCAAACACTCAGAAAATCTTACATTATACAAGCGCTCTGGGATGCTGCTCCAGGCGAAGGGCGCTATATAAATGCAAGTTGTGTTGTTATACAATGACCAATGTAAATGTACAGATCCTGATACTTTGGCCTTTGGTAAAGTTAGGTTACGAGGATGCACACGTAAACAAGTCAGGTTACACGATCCCGGGATTTAAGTACAGCTTTTTTTAAACCACGCTGATCATTCACGTTCTCTAAATGCCACACAGCCGCAAGTCCAGCAGCAGACAATGAATCAGTGTCGGAATTGACTCTTGTAATCAAGGGCAACCCCACTTCAGAATACAGCTTCTCTTTACTTTTTCTCCAATCCCCTCTCCCACAGCAAGACTGGTTTGCATCAATCTTCACATCACTGGCTTCCCAGAGGAAAGCAAAAGTGGGGTTATACTCATGCATTCCTTGCTGTAACGTATACTTTTAGCTCAGTGGCACAGAGGTAGACAGACAGACCAGCATCAAAGCTGCCGGATGTAGCACTTAACAAGATTGACTCTGTCCCTGACACGGAGCTGCTTGCTGACAAGAATGTCAGTAACAGTCACAGCAGGCGCGGGGTGTACACTGCTCACACACGTCAGGAAGGCATCTGATACGAAAGGATTTACTCTGCATTCAACAGGAATATGTTTTCAGCTCTGTCTGTATGATTACATCAACAACAACAAGAAGATTCCATTTATAGAGCGCCTTTCACGTCGGGAGGACGTCCCAAGGTTCAGCGTTCAAAGAGAAACTTGCCAACTTATGCCAACCTTTGTGTAGTTTTTGTTCTCTACACTCGCACCCTGGGATACAGGAGGTAGCCCATGATATACGCACTGTACTGCCTTGCCTCTACACCCTCCTGCCTATCCCACAATTTATGTCTCACCTCGTGCATTTAACGTTCAGCAGATCAAAGGTCATCACATTTGTAAGTCACTCTACAGTCCACCCAGGAACTGAAACCATTGAGGTGCTTATCCCACAAAATAACAAAACACAGTCAATTCACACCTCATAATAATATATTCTGTGAAACACTTCGAGACGTTTCCATGACGTGATAAGGCACTATATCAAATGTCAAGGATTATTATTATTATTTCCAGTGTCCTTATGAAGTGGACGCAACAGACGGATGAAAAATCCAAGAGAATTCTTTTTCACTCCAAAGTATGTGTGTTGCAGAATATATTTTTATTACATTATTGCTGTCCTTGTAGTACAAACAGAGAGGCTCAGTCATTGTTGACAGCAAAAACCGCAATCAATACTTGCACATGTGTGCATTAATCTTCTCTGACTGGCCAATAAACTCAATTTACAATCACACAGTACATTTCCAACGGATAAAAATATTGATCTAGGTGCAGTTATACTAGCCTAAGAATAAATGGGCTGTGTATAGCATCCCAACGGAAGTGTCAACTGTGCCTGGACACACGTGTGTGTGCGCGTGTGTGTGTGCGCAAGCACAGCTCACAGATATACACCTGCCAACGAGAGTCTGCAAGTGGAGATTAACAATACAGATATTAAGGTCCAGGTTTTCAATGGAATAAATTAAGCCATTTTCCTGCAGAGGGAAGGTAATGTGCCACAAGCATTAGTTAGCAAACTGTCCCACACCACTTCAGGGCTGAGCGGTCTCTCTCTCTGTGTGGTTCCTGTGCGTAGGCTGGGTTTAGTTACTCGACGATAAGCAAGAGCCGCGATTCAGACCAGCGAAGCGAACGGACCGTCATCCTCGTTACTGCTCTCGAGAGAAAAGGACGGGATGGAAACGTCAAACGTGGTGCTGTCTGCCCTTTGGAAAGTGTACGAGCCCCTGCAGAAGGTGGAAACAGCAATAAGCAGCAATATCGTCTACTCCCCTCCAGTACATAATAATCCTTGCATTTGATATAGCGCCTTATCACGTCGAGATGTTTCCAAGCGCTTCACAGAGTATACTGTAAAGTGATTTGACTGTATTTTGTGGGAGAAATGCATAGCTATATACAAGCATAGTATCGTATCTATCTAGTATCATATCTATGCTACTGTTATTTTCCAAAGACATTCTTTCTATTAATCCCACTTTCCAGCTCTAACCCCACATGAACAAAATGAGGAGGAATTGTTTACGCTTGAATCGAAAGGTTTGGTACATTTCTGTCTGGTTCAGTTGAATTTGTACAGAATATAGAGCATGAATTGGTTGAGTACACATCACTGTGAGCTGTCTGTCCACTAAAAGTAAGAGGGAGCAACAAAATGAGAATTTATGTTATGAATATTCAGAGTCAGTTTGGTTAAGGGATACACAGAGGGCAGAAGTAACTGGGTTCCATTACACCACTCACAATCCAGGGTCAGAATTATGACTTGATGATTCTACAGGGCATTGGATCTCAATTTGTGATTCATGAACTCAGGTGAGGAGTCTGTCATTCTCCAAACAACAGGTTTACAGATAACAAACTTAGAAGCCAGGATACTTAGGTGCTTTGGAGGGAGAATCAACCTTCTGACTCAGAAGCGAGAAGTGCTATCAATGAGCCAGGCTGACACACCCTCTGCATTTCCATACAACCCAGACCTGCAGACCTGGCTTATCTTAGAAACCGAGTCATTAAAATGTCCTGCCCTTTAATGGAACATAGTATAAACATTCATTAATCTTTACTGAACTCTGAGCAAAGGAAAATGTCAACTTATTGCATATGACAGCAGAAATTCATCGCCCCCCGCCCACCACAGGTTTACCCAGTGATAACACTGTTCACTGCTTTCCAAGTCTCACAAGTGCTTTAAACTGCTTAACAGTACACTACGTACAATGCAAATAGACTATTGTGTGCGCGGACACACACACACACACACCAAATTTGCTCAAAGTGTTTATTTTTTTTAAATGGTCAGGATACAGAAATTAAAAAATACAGCATTGACATCATCACAGTCCGATTGAACACAAGGAAACAAGTCAGTCTCTCTACAAAGTGTTGAGCTAATGTGCTACAGGTCATCTTGTGGCATAGCAAAAGAAACCTGTTTGGGCTATCACACTGACACTGTCAAAATACTGAAGGACCTTCTTGGGAAACGTCAGCAATCTTCCCTATCCCGTTACAAGGCTAACAGTCTGTAGGTTTGGCACTTGCTCATATTGTGCTGCCTAAAAAAAAAAATTCAAATTGATTTTCAATGGAAAAAGCTCAGTAGCTTTTTCCATTGAAAACCAGTTTGAAATGTTTTTAATGAAACCAGAGACACAGTGTGGTTCAGACAAGGCCATGGATTAAAATTTAACAGGAAGAGCCACAGCAATAGCCACTGCTGGCACGTTTGAGATCACAAGCCAACTTTGATGTGTAAACACAAACCACGCAGCAAAATACTGTACACGCAATGCAACTTCCAAGAGACAGAGATGAGCGCAATTCCTGACAGGGGCACTCCATTACTCCGGGAATGAACAAAGAATCAATCCGGCTAGCAACAGTCCAGGTGATCATACATCTCACAGGTATCACTCGTGCCCTGTCCTCTCTAATTCTCCTCCCCCTCCTCCCCCACCATTTACGCTACAATAAATGTGGTGTGTTTGGGATGATCAGTTAGTGAGTGGCCTTTACGGTGCGTGTTTAACTCTCCAAGCTGAATGACGAGTTCGCAAAAAGCTGCCACTAATTACAATTCAGGAACGGTAACAAAATCTCAACCAACAAATACTTCCGGTTCCGTATAGTTCCTCTTCAGACATGTGCATTATAGAGCAGTGGTGCAGTACCAGGGTATAAACCCTACCTTCTGGAATCAATCATTGCTACCAAAAGGCACTCAGCTCACTCACTACAGGCAGGTTTTAAGGTTGGCAGGGTTCAAGAAGGATTGGTTTCACGATCGATTGTAATCTGTATCTGGGAGTAGAGATCACTGCTCACTGACCGGAGATTTCCTACATGTCAAACTGAGCTTAGACTATCGGGTGTGGTCCTTCCACCATTCACACCTGCCAGATCTCAGGCCTTTGCTCTGTACTAAGTGGGTGAATTATGACAATTAGAAGAATCCTTGCAGTTGATATAGCAACTTATCATGCCGTTGAGACATCTTGCAGCGCTTCACAGTATTTATTCTAAAGTGGACTGACTGTGTTTTGTAGGTGGAACGCGGCAGCCAGTTGAGCACAGCAATATCCCACAAACAGCCAAGGAGTGTATGACCAATTTTATTTGGGGAACTTGTTGGCCAGAACACCAGGAGAGAAGGATTTACTTCTCATTTCAAATAGTGCCATGGGATCTTTAAAGTCCACCGGAACAGGCAGACAGGACTTTGTTTTAACATCTCATCCGAAGGGTCTCTCTGACAATGCAACACCCACCCAGCGCTGCACTGGAGTGTTAGCTTAGGTTTGGCCTCAGCGTCCCTGCAGTGATTGGAGAGGGGGAGAAAGTGAGGAAGAAAAAGCTTAGCCACTAAGCAGCTGCTGAAAAAGTGTAGGTGTATGGAAAAAGTCAAAGGAAGGATTTGTTCCCTTGGTCAAACAACCTGACACTCTCTAGCTCTGAATATAAAGAATGGGCACTTGAGAGGTACTGGAGTTACTGTACACTAACACACGTCAGTGCCCTCACGGAGAAATTGAAGGGGTTTGTGGGAGACATTAGTCTCCTTGTAATCATTTTGTGCAGAGATTGTGTTTTTTTTCAATCACTTGGTTTCTACAACAGAAATACAACCACCAAAACACAGCATTAAACGCACTGTTAGACAGAATGCTCTTTGCGTAAATGCTCAAGGTTGACAGTGGACAAGGATCCTTCTTCCTGAGGCATCTGGTTCTTGTCAAGTATTTGGCCTTAAATTCTGAGCCCCAGCCAGAACTCAGCTTCAGACTAGTGGGAGCATGGCTTGTTGAGGCTTCACACAAAAGGATAATAATAATAATGATAATAATAATAATGATAGATCAAAGGCTCACACACACACTCTCCAACCCAAAGCAATAACTACATGGGCACTGTGCAAACTGAGGCATGCTTCCAAACACAGTCCTGCTTAACCTGCAATCAATCTGCGCTGATACAAGTCTGCGCTGATACAACCCCCCCCCACTGTTGACACAAGAGCCCCGCATTGGCAATTCCGAGCAGACAGATTTCTCTGTATTGCTATAATATGAACAATGGGTTCTGGGTCATCAATGGACATCTTTCATATGACATTTGCCTAATCTTTGCTTTTCCCCAAAAAAGTTTAATTGAAATAACACCACAAATTTCTCAGCTTGGGAGTGGGGCCATCACTGCTGTAATTACTTCAGCTACACCAAAAGGACTAAAATATTGGGAACCTAATAATTTAGTCCCATGTCCCGGTGACAGTACAATTATAATAGAAATGCAGTCAGAGCCAAAACATTTATCCTTGTATTACCTGCATGCACCTTAACCCTCAACCTGGATTTTTAATTGAAAAGGGCACTACTCCTCCTCAATGTGCAACCTTCTAATGTCCAAGTGAGATGGCCTGACAGCACTGCTGTGCCACGGAGTAAAGTCCACTGGATTGGAATGGCTCAAACCGATTTCCCTGAGGCCCCCTCGTCACCTCCATTGCTTCCGTTGCTATAAAGTGCACTACGGGCAAAGGGCTACTTCACAATCAGATAAGGGATGTGAATGGGCCTGGCAAGAACCCATTAGGAGAGTCGTCTTTCTTGCTTTCGAGGGAGAACGGTGGAATACGGACATCGAAGAAACTCTTGTCAGCTCTCTCCAAACGATAGGAACCCCTGTAGAATGCAGATACAACCATCAGCCCATGGACACAGTTCCCGGCTAATTACAGTTGATTGGCAAAACTGGGGACGGGGAGAGGAAGGAAGGAAGGAAGGGGGATTCAGAACAAAGACAAGATAAAATCATCGGGCTCTTTAGGCAAAGTGGTATTCCTGGACAGAAAAGTTCAGGTAATGAATCAAACAGCTTAATGACGAATAAGTTACGTTCTACTTCGGATAAACAAAATGATTGCTTTCCTGCAGATTAAACTGTTTTCTATTTGCTCTTTTCTAGTTTCTCCACGTGATGGGATAACAGATGCAATTTCCACTGCACCTTCCAAATCTGATCAGACGAGGCCACAAAATTAACCAGACTGCACCAATCTGTGACAGTTTCTGAGCCAGGCGGCTCCTCAGTACTCCAGGGCACTGCTGATGACAACACAATTATTATTATTATAGGTAGGACTTGGAGGAACAGACCAGTCACTGGGGGCAGGGATTCTTCCTACTCGGCTCCTGTTAACCCTGCAATACAAAACTCGAACGGGGAGGGTGGTCCTAACTGGACAAGCAGCTGGAAAGCTTGCCAGGCAGTGCCCTCACTGACACTCTACGCTATTTCAGCTGTTTAGACTCCAGCGTTATCAATATTACCTAAATAGCTAAATTACAATTACTTTCTCGAAACCCATGCACACTCTGAGGTCTCCAAGCCTCAACTCTTGGCAGCCTACACTTAATCCTCTCTGGAATTAGGTACGCAGGAAGCTTCCCTCCAGGGAGAGTGTGTATTCCATTACGCAAGGATTTCCTTGTATAGGAAGGATGAATGGAACTCAGTTTGGTTAGATACTTCTAAGCACGATGCTGGGTTTCTGCATGCGCCAGACACCTTGCTGAACAAAAACAATCCTGTGAAGCACTTTCAGACGTCTTGACAATGTGATAAGGCTCTATATTAAATGCATTGGGTGGTGTCACTTGATCCAGAATTACACTGTTTTCTCCCCAGCCCAAGACCCGCTACGTATTACAGCTTTTCAATGGATCTTTAAAAAGCAATTTTTTTCATTAAATCTTTTAAGCTGTCAACCCTGGAGATTATTTTTTTTTAAAAAAAACACACAACGAGGGTCTGGGGTTTGTACAAGCCAAGGGAGACGGATGGGAAGAGGAGCTGAAATACTTTTCTTTGCCCTTTGAAAAGTTTGCATTCCTTCCTTGGAGCAGATGCAAATTCTCTTGTTAATTTTTCCTCCTCTGTAGACCATCTCCACACTCAGCAGAGCATTAGAGCACTCAGCTCCACCATAAACAACGCACATCAGCCTCCATTCCACTTCGATCTCAATTAGGAAGCACCTGAGCCACAAACCCGTTGCATCAAGAACTCTCTTAGTGTTACAAACTGACAGGCTTTGAACACAAGGCGTAACTGAGAAATCTAAACGGTCAGTCCCACCGTGTTATCAAAATTCCATTCACGGACATCATTTTTTAACGAAACACTGCAAAGGTAGTCGAGCAATAAAAAAAAACCGTAGCAAATATCCCCAAAATGCAGGCAAATAACTCCTCATCCCCTCCTCAAATATGCATAATTTCCAATCTCCCTGTTTTTAATCCTCACCTGTCTGGAGTAGACTGGCAGATTAATTCACAGCAATAGCAGGAAGAAAAACGTGGACAGCTGGAAATAAATCCACCAGATAGATTTGAAAAGGGGTTAGGAGTTTAGCAGTAAGAGGGTTGAGAAAAATTCGACTGTATTATGAGGGACCCTAATTTGCACACTCAGGATTAAAAGGTCAGAAAGAGCATAGTCCGAGTACGTTCCTAATCACACACCTTGTTCTCAGAAGATTGTACAGAAAATCTCAAATAAATCAGCAAACAGTCTTTAAGAAATGGATTATATCAATTTAAGCAATGGATGAAGCACTTAAGTAGAGATACACAGATGCAAACATACCTCAGACTAGGATGAGTATAATAATACGTTGACTGGAGGAAAGAGTATGTGGTACAATGGCAAAGCTGTCTTTACAGCACAGCAGGTAGAACAGAATAGATAAATGGCACCAAGACTCACGCTGAAAAGAGCTTTTATAGTTCAAGTTCACAAAACAGACATGAATATAAATGTTTTTTGTAAAAAAAGAATGCAGTTATGTTCCAGACCTTAAAAAAAATTCCAAACTTGACTGAGAAGGATTTTATCATTTGCACACAAGACACAGGATGGCCCGCATCATCTCAAATAGACGCATTGCAGAAGCCCTAGTACAAGGATAAACAGCCCACCCCTCCACAACAGAGTCAGTCTGTCCTTGCTCAGCTCTGTTGGCATGCATGGTCCCTCCCCAAACTCAAGGAAAGTTACCATTTGTGAATGGCAGAATTCAGGCGATTTTTCATGTTCCCTCTAATGCCTTCATTGCAGCCCAGAGTAAACTGAGCAGGATCCTAGCACCTCATGCTATTTCAAGATCAGTTTTATTTCAACCTGACAGACACCATTAAAAATCCTCAGGAAACAATACAGCAACAAACCAAGCCTCCACCCTTTATCGTCCCAAATCCGACCCTGGTCCCAGCTTAATCACTAGACTCTTTGTTCAAAGATAAAAGTAACTACATTACAGTGCACAGATTAAAACATTAAGAAAACACAAGCCTTTAAAGTGCAACTCCTACGCAAATGTATAGCTTAGAACCTAGTTATCTTACAAAGACAGATTTACATAACGTAAGTGGCTGGAAGTAAGTGGCGATCATTCATTCTTCTGCTCTTGTGTGCCAAGTCAGATGCAATTTAAACAATCCTCCACGAACATTCCACATCACATTAGATGGTCAGAAATATTGGAATCAACAACAACTTGCATTTATATAGCGTCCTTCATGCCGGATGGCATCTCAGTAAGAGCAACACAATGAACATTTTAAAGGTAGAAAAGCTAACAATATAGAACTGGTTGCGGGGTGTCCTAGACCCAACTTCAGATACTGCTCTTCAAGCGGAGCCAATCCTTTCCCAGCTATCGCTCAGTGAACACGATTATCTCACACCACAGGTAGCTAGGCTGCCCTTCCCTGGGTCAATGCTTGAACTGATAACTATGGACATTCAACCTCCTGAGTATTGCAGGCTTTCAAAATAAAGAATTTAATTAAAGATAACAAGGCTTCCCTTTTTCCTTCCAGTTGTCGCCCCTCATCCATTGATGGCACCAACTCATTCTGCCTTACAGTTCCACGGGCACATTGCAGACTGAACCTGTTAACCTGGATGCTGAGAGCCAGTCAGCATGCTGCTTTGCCAGCAGAGATTACAGGAACCTGGCTAGGACTCCTGGTTGATTTTTGCATTCAGACATACAGATCTTCTGTCCTGGCTGGGATCAGGATAGACTAGGAATTGAACTGACCCTTTCTGGTGTTTTACCTGCTGGTTATAGAGAGCGTTTTCCATTGATCCTGTAGATCAGAGATGGCCAACTTGCAGCCCGTGGGCCACATTATGTATGCATAAAACAATCGCCCAGGCCACAAGTTGGCCATCCCTGCTGCATATAATTGAATCAAAAGCTTGTACTAAACCATAAAACATTCCTGTTGCAGTTTTCGGAGAAACAGAAAAACGTTTCTAGGAGTTACCTCAATGGCTTGTGGGTTTATCCTGTGAGCAAACTGTCAAATAAATACCATTCCCTTTTGAAAAGGTTTCACTCCACAGAAACCAAGCATCTTATTGTATGCCTCAGCCATTAAGGAGATTGAAAGCAGGAGGACTAATGAATTGTGACCCAAACAGTACAGGCATTAGCTTATGATAATTAACAGTTTACTTACCACATATGGCCACTGGGAGCCTGCAATGAGACATGACTGCTGTACTGAAATGCTGGCTGCTCCTTCGATAAAACTGGCTCCTGTTTACAGACAAAAAGGGAATACACCTTTAGATTCTCGTCAGAATGTGACACACGGAGCAACTATAGATTGTATTGATGTGTAATGAGTAAAATGTGCTAACAACATTTTAGCCGTGGGAGAGACGGGCCACTTAACTTTGGCCATTGTTCAATTATGACTTCTAAGCACCGGCCATTAACACTTTAAACACTCCTAGAAATGGTATTGTTCCCATTGTATTTTCTTATTGCAGTGTACATTGCAAACCCCCCCCACAACACACACATAGTCTGCTGACTGACCCCATTTGAAGTGCACAAGTTTAAAGTTAACTGGTTTGATTCAGTCTAGCACTGGTGAATAGCTTAAAGATTCACAAGTACTCACTCGAAGCTCAAATGAAAGCAAAGAACTTAATTTTGGTCAACATTTCCAGTTCTGATGAAGGGCCACACCCTAAACAATTTAATAATCCTTATGTTTGATATAGCACCTTAGACATCACAAAGTCCTTCACAGAATATATTGTAAAATGCATTGACTGTATTTTGTGGGAGAAACACAGCAGTGTCACACTAGCACTGGATATGTAACTTTCAGTGACTCACTATCACTTCATGTATTCGGGGATTTGGTTTAGGGTGCTTCAACATGTACCTGGCACAAGTGTCAAGCTGCAACAGATGCCATGATTTTCTAAAATACAACCTTCCCCTTCGGCAATAGGGGCAGTTCTGTTTCTGGAATCCATCTAGTATGGATGCCAGAATTTGAGACAGAAGGAATATATGGAGGTTAATATAATCCTGAACCACAAAAAAAATGGCAATTCATAGCATGTCAATCAGGAAGTTGACTGATATGCATTCACAGCGTTTTGTTTCAGGTTTCCAGCAACTGCTCAAATTTGTAAAAAAACACAATTTTTAAAATTAGTCTGCATTCTGAAGTTAGCAATATAGGCACTCATTCAAATCACAACAACAAACTACATTAGCTCGGAATGTGACTAGCAGGATTACAGATCCTTCAAATGATCTTGTTCAAATCCAAAATGCGGCGCAAGACTTTTCTGGTAACAACTCCAGTGCCTGGTTTAGCTACCAATTCAACATGTCAACATGGGATAGGCCTTTCCTCTCCCCTCATAGTCTCTTATTTGTTTTCAACTGCAAACATCCTTTGGCCGTATTCCACCAGTATGTGAATTTGTAAACCCAGAGTTGATGCAATTATTCTGAGTATTAGAATAACTGGATAACTGAATACATTCTGGCAAGCTGCTCCAGTTATTAGATTAAGTGAAGCATTTAACTAGGCCCATACACATCTTTTAAAATCTTGCTAGGATCATTAATAGTTACTCACCCTGCCCACCACTCCTCTGCCTCGCACCGTCTCCAGTGTCCCAGACAGGCTGAATATCCGCCAGTGTCGTTCTCGAAGCTGAACTACTTCTGCGCCGAGATTCTCCAACCGGATGCAGTATCGCCACTAAGAAGGAAGAATGGGGTCAGGTCAGTCCTCCAAACTGAAGCAACGGGAAGTAACACAAATCTATCTCCTTTTTGTATGGTTACATGTAAAATGCAACTTTTTAAAAAATGTAACTAGGCACTTAGCCTACACCTCCCACCAAGACTTTTAGGCTTAAGGACATTTACAAAAGAGTATTATGGGTTTGATAAATCAGGACCAACCACTGGCAACTTACACGTGCAAATAGTCATATTACACTTAAAACAAAAATTTGTCCCAGTTTAATCATAGTGACCTAAGTAACCAATATCCCATATATATCAATAAAACCAATAGAATGTTCACAATCAGACTCCACTCTGCATCTGTGGTGATACTTACCCAGTAGACGTGGGAATTCTGAGCTTCCTGCAATGCATAGAAAAAAAACTGTAAGAACCGCTTCAGTGAAAAACAATTGGAAGACACTGCAACTTTTATTTAAAAGTCCACAATATAATAATAATAAGGCTTGCATTTGATATAGCGGGTCGGGTCGTTGTAACAATGTCATGTTAGAACTATAGGAATTCAGTGCATTAATTAAGCAGAAAAGCCAGGTTACCCATACTTCATAAACAAAGCCACTCTAAGATGAAGAGTTGTGCAACTTTACATTTATATAATGTAACAATGAGAAATGCCTTGCGTGTCAGGACATCCCAAGGCACTGATTAGTCATTCCCAATCTGAAAAGCCCTGCATCTTGGGCTACTTCCCAATAATTGTACGCTTAGTAGACCTCCAAATAAGGCTATACGCTGCAATACATTGGATGTGCCACCATTGTGAGGCACTCCCAGTACACCATTGGAGAAACATCACAACATCCTTACCCGCATGCCCATGTAGAAAGGTATAACAGTAACCCTGATGTTTTCTGTGGTTTCTCGATGTACGTCGGACAGCTCTAACCAGGGATGGTTCTTCTCTTGCCAGGCGCGTAGTGTGTCTCTGGCTGCAAATGGCAGAGCTGTGGAAATTAAACGACAAAACACTTAACACAGAATATCTCCAGGATAATCTAGTTTATACCCCGAGTTCAGCTAGTACTTTTGTTTAGTCTTGTATAAGTGTACCTATAATGTACATATACCGATAATGATACCATAGTACACATGAATCATACAACCAATTTGTAACTTGGAACCTATTTGATCTCAAATGTTTGGAGACGAGATCCACTAATACGTGCCAATACTAAAGCTTTCAGCCCGTCAGTACATATTTATGACACTGCAACTCTACAGTGAAATCATTTAAATTTTTATAAAATCAAAGCTTATTTGATTTCTGGGGACGAATTTTGTGTTCATCAAGGGAAAAGATTTTGGTATGGAGAAATGCAACATTCCCATTGGAGTACTCGGTTTCAGCATTGACCATTCCCGGGTCAGGGATTCAAAGAGACATCAACAACAGGCATATATATTACCTGGAAGAATGTTAAGATATATGGAGATATTATATATGTTGTTGTTGCCACTATTATACGTACACCACTAACTTTCCTCCATTCATAGAAAGGACATAAATCAGGCATTTCAGTTGGCTGGAAATGTACAAAAATACTCATTACCTTTTGCAGGCTCGTAGGAAAGAAATCTTTCAAATAACTCATGTTGGATGGGGTTCCTATCTGAGGAGCTGTATGGCAGAATGTCTTCATGACTCACATAGTCTAAGCCTAAATATAAAACAAACACTTTTAAAAGAATCATTTCAGACATTTACTATTGCAAAAAAATTGAAGAGAATGTTGTAACATTTCAATCTTCTCTGAATAAGTATTAAAATGTGTTTGCAAGGCACTGATCAGCCAGCACTGAGTAAGCGCATCACAGTCAGAATGATACTAAGAGCCATAGTAATAGTAAAATGGAAAAACATTTTAGCCAGAGCACAAGCAAAAAGTGGGAACTTTGTATACGGAAATCGCTTGATGTCAGTCTAGATTGAGATCCACTCCCATATTTATATGAGAACAAGGCATACCAATGCGTACTGCCACTAGTCAGCTAACTCACCAGAGATCCGGGATCAATTGTGAGACCCCACATCTCTGTATGGCTCCATTTCACACAGTGGTTTTACCCACTGCCCCATGAGGGTTGTAAAGTTTCTACAACACATTACAAAGTGTTAAATCTGATAATTTAGTTCAGACTATTATATTAAATAGGATCAGTTTCTCTCCAGATATGCTCCCTGTTGTTTTACATAATATAAAGCAGGTCCATTACCTGGAATTGCATAGAGAGCTCTGCTGTCGTCGTGGTTGGCAAGAAAAGTCACTGCTTCTGTCTGTGACCTCTGAGACTGCAACAGAAAAGACAATTGAAAAGACAAAGCAAGGAGTAGCTGTGAGTTTAGAAGCACACGACTATTTCACTACAAAGATTGAAGAGGCAAAGAGCAGACTTGTACTAGGGAATACCAAGAGAACCTGTATTACAGTTTCACAATAGGAATAATGGCCAATATGATTTTCTCCCAATCCTTCTCCACTTAACATTCTCACTCTCCCTAAGGCACGGATTCACACAGGTGTATAGTTCCAGACAAACTAGCTGCCCTCTGGTTTCTTTCCCAGGTAACTACTAATCACTCACTGCCAAGATATTGTAGTATGTTTTAGCACTCAATGCAACTGTGGGGGGAGCATCAAACCCAAACCCAAGGAGGAGGATAATTTTGTTGCGAATCTCATGAGCTTAATTTTAAAAGTTGCCTGGGAGGGACAGTTCTATTTAAACTCCCCATGACCAGCAGCGTTCCCTTCCCTCATCATTAATAGTTCTACAATAACAGTAACTGAGATAGATTGGCCCAATTTAATTAGAGCAGCACATTTACCCCGCAGTCTGTTCATTATACAGTTTACTTCTCTTGAAGTCACTCCCAACTGAACAGTACAGTTAAAGTAACACCCACATCGCCACTTGAATGGGACATGTTGAACATAAACACTCACAATATGAGGACAGTCCCTGGTGTCAATCAGCACTTGATAGTATGTATGTGTTTTGCCTTTTACTTCTTTTGAACCTTGACTTCCTTCTGCACTTTCTGTCTTACTGCAAGCAAACAAAGTACAAACCATCAATCAACTCTTTCAATGCGTGTAACTCGGCAACATCCGTTTATTGCTGACCTCTGAAAATCATTTGCTTCTTAATGTTTCAACCAATCAAAAAGAGTCAGGCAGGGAGTGAATTGACATAGTCTTTTTTGGTCAGCGGGATGTGCAGAAACTCATCACCATGCTTAAAAGAATCCAAACCAGTGTCCCACATATGTACACCACCTACACATGGAAACATTCCTGTGTCTGGAATGAAATGTGAACTCTTTTTCTGGAAGGACACACCCCACTTTTGGTGAGTACAGACCCAAATACCAAGGCTTGGGGTCCACTCCCTCCCAGAGTATGCGCTGGGGTAACTGCTGGAGTTTAACCGGTTTGCCATTCAGAGCACTGTCTGGCAAGCTTCCCACTGCTTACCCAGCTAAAACCACCCTATACATAGGGTATATATACAAAATACAAACAAATGCACCATAATACTATAGTGAAATTAGAAGAAAGCTAACACAGAGCTTACCTGTCAGAGCTACAGGATGCCACATCACGGTCATACAATCTGGCGTGCCATGGGAACAGGACTATTCCTCTGTACCCAAATATGCTGTGTAGAAACAACTACAGGGGCAGAAACACAGGGTCAAAGACATGCAAAAGGATTTTATGTCCAAGCTGCATCTTTAGAATAGCTACACTGGGTTGGGTTAAGATAGGCTGAGCTAGCATAAATTCACAGCCAGACACAAAAGCAGCCCTCTTACCACAATAAGCAAGAGGGAGAAAAGAGGTTTTGGTGTCTCAGGTAGTGGGTTTCCAATTCAACCACATCAGAGGGAGGAGCAGAGAGGAGACTTAGTGTTTTCCCTCCACACAGAAGCACTAACAAATGGCTTCACTGTCCTTAAGATTGGAAAAAAGCACACAACCGGTGTTTCTACTTTGGATCACTATCCAAGTGGAGCGCATGTAATGTGGAGGCAGAAAAAGGCAAGACTGAATATAGTTATGACTGACCTTGGTCAAACAACCTAACAGAACTCACTGTCAGGGTCACACCTCACGTATGCCATCCAGGAAAGACAAAGTTGGTTGCCTATTAAGCAACTTTAAAAATCCTTGATATAACACCTTTCATTATCAGGAGGACATCTCCAAGCACCTAACAAAATGTTTAAAGCCTACCTAAACATGGGGACAGGACCTCAATTTAACATCCCATGGAAAGGGCAGCACCTCAAACACCGCCAAACTCCTCCAGTACAGCGCTGGAGTATCAGCCTGGGCTCTGAGCCTGAGATCACTTCATTTTGTAATAGCAAGTTACTCCATAGTCAAACCTATCTCACCTGTCCGGTTTCATATTTTCCTAGTTGCTTTGGGGCTTCAAACACTCCAACCGTCTCTAACACTTTACCTTCAGGGCGGTTCCTGTGGAAACAAAATCAAACAAAACTCAAAATAAGTAAGGATTTATCACAAAGATCAGAATTAAGAAACAGAACACAAGCATACATCACAAGTACTGGCATAGGCATGGGATTAACTCTCAACAACATGATAGATCATATGAAGCAAAAGTATGCAGGTCACTAATGAAGTTCAAAATTGTGCAACTGTATTTCCAGATTTTTCTAGTACTTCAGTTAGATGTGATAGGTTTCCAACTGACTACCAACCTCTGGTTAAACATTACCCTAATATCTCCATATCACTCTGTAGAGATGAAAACAATACTTCCACAGCCACCAAACCCTGTCGATGAGTGTCTCTGTGGATTTATTTTTACGCACAACCATCTTCCAATGGTTTGTAAAGTTCAATCTGTGAACTGATTTACTTTCAAAATCTTCTGAAGGAGGCCTTAGCTTTTTGGAACAAATAGAATTATTATATTCTGCTCTCAGTTTCTGTAACCACCATGACTGCAAAACATTTCTTCAAGTTTCGAAAACACATTTCAAAAGAGTTTTCTTCCCCCTTCTCTTAAAGACAGCAATGCCCAGTGCCGTTCCAGGACACTTTGGAAAACACCTCCATACGCACAAACATAATAATAATGATAAACAGATACTGGTACATGTACAACAATATGCATTCATATAGGTGTGGCATCTGGGAGAGCTCATACATAGATACAAACCCACACCTTTCTCTCTCTATACTGATGCTCTGCCACTGCGCCGTCTTTTCAACAAAGTACTGCTTTCCCATCGTACATATACAGTACGAGGAGTGGCAGCTGCGCAATAATAAATAATCTTTGCATTTGATACAGCGCCTTGTCGCGTCTTCCGAGGCGCCTCCAAGCGCTTCACAGAAAAGGACGTACAAGGTACTGCAAAGTGTAGTGACTGTGTGTTCTGCGGGCGAACGTATGCAGCGTATAATCGAGGGCAACGCGAAGACAACCAGCCCTGTGCAGAAACAGGTAACTTCAGTGTGTTTTGATGAAGGTGTGTAGTCATGTGCTGTGTACTGGCGCGGAGTGGAGTGGAGGGAGTGGAGGGAGTGGAGGGGAGGCCAACCTTCTCTCGCTCCCCACAGTCTGACCTCCCCGTCGCTGGGCTCTCACCTGGAAGACAGCAGCCTGACGTGCTGGTGATACTGGGTGACGTTACAGGCCAGACAGGCGGCCCTGTTGCTGCCGCCGCCGCCGCCGCCTTCCCGCGAGTAACGAGCCCCCAAGGCCCGGAAAGCGGCGGCCGGAGCTTTGCCGAGGACTGACACGCACCTCCTGACGGCCGGGGCCGCCATGACAGTGAGCGAGCGCGGGGCGGGGCGGGTGAGGGAGACAGTGAGAGGCCGTCCCTCACACTCACACACTACAAAGCCCCGAGGGGGGGGGGAGCCCTGACTGACTGACTGACCGACTGACCGCCCGCCTTCCCGCTCTCAGGCCTGAGCCAAACTCCTAACTACCCGCGGGGGCGCCTCAGCGCCCGGTGGTGGCGTCACAGACACACGGCGGCGGCGGGTATTTTTTTTTGAGCTGTTTTTCTAGCGACACCACCAGCTGCCCCTCAACTAAACCAAACTGCCCGAGGGCTGGGGGGGGGGGGGGCGGCTGGGCGTTCTCGCGGCCGAGAGGAGGGTCCGGCAGTCGGGGGCGCGGGCCTGCAAGGCGCTCGCTGGCTCCTTCCCTCCCTCCCGTGTGCTGCTCGATGCCACTAACAAAGATGGCGGCCGCCCTCGACGGACGCGTAACCAGGCGGTGGTTGGCCGGTTGCCATGGAGACCGGCCGAGTTAGGCCTCGCGTCTCCCCCACGGAGCCTGAGGAGGAGGATGAGAAGGGGGCACAGTTACAACACATTCCCAGTTTAACAAGGCGATGGGGGGGGGGGCAGGGCAATAATCTTTATCTTGGTGATTCATGTGTGTGTGTGTGGGAGGGAGGGGAGGCCGCTTGCCCTTTGCCCCGCACGCTGCTGACGTTGCGTGTCCCCCGCCCCCCCCCCCCACCCCTTCCCTCTGCCCCTCACAAAGATGGCGTCCGCTGTGCGGGTCGGGGACGGCTTCGAGCCGCGGCTCCGCGCTCTGCTCCGGGACTGGGACCGGGACGACAGCTCCGTCGCTCAGGACGCGCGCTCGCAACTCGAGGCCTGTCTGGCCGGCGGCCCCACGGTCTCCTTCGACGCCCTCCGGACACTGCACGGCTTCTTACGGGCGAAAGGTGAGCCCCGGGCCTTGGCTCCTGGTGTCCAGCAGAGCAGTCAGGGCCGCACTGACAATACATACCCCGAACAGCCGCCTTATTCCTCGAGGCTTTCCCCCACCCCCCCTCTCACGTAAAAATTAAAACCTCTCAGAGAAACGAAAGGAAGGTTATTATATGATAATAATAATAATATTACCAGTTGTATTTAATACAGCACCCGATGATGATGATAACAACAACAACAACAACAATAATAATCCTTGCGTTCGATATGGCGCTTTTTCACGCCTTCGAGACATCTCGAAGTGCTTCGCGGAATATTGCCGCAAAGCGCAGCAGTGACCGTGCTCTTTGCGGGCGACACGCGGCAGCCGACGGCGCACAGCGTCGTGTCGCCCGGACGTCTCGGAAGCCCGTCTCACAGCAAACGAACGCAACAACAACTTGCGCGTGTCTCGCGCCCTTCGCCGGGGGGTAGCGTCCCAGAGCGCTTCTATGCTATGTATTTTGCGGGTGAACGCGGCTGCCAACAGCCACGAAGCCAATGAACAATATAATTTGGGGCGGTGGGGGCTGTTGTCCAGTAGACCAGGAGAAATTCCCTTCTGTTGGGCAAGTTTCCTTACTCCACACAGAGCCTCATAATAATCCCTCCAAAACCAAAAACAATAATAAATTGGTCATTTTCAATCTACGACACGTTGTGGGACATTGCTGTGCGCAATTGGCTGCCGCGTTCGCCCACAAATATACAGTCAATTCACTTTACAGTGTGTTCTGTGAAGCGCTTTGGGACGTCCTCCCGACGTGAAAAGCGCTATATCAAATGCAAGGATTATTATTATTATTATATATCAATTTAGAGAATTCCTCACCTGGGAATTTTGAACAGGTAGATGGATACAGAGACAGAATGAGAAGGAGTGTCCACTTTCGTAACCAGCACTGGTCCTTGCAATTTGCTGCAGATTGTACAGCTTTCAGTGTCTTGTTTGTTTTCAGGTTTTCCTGTGTATCTACACGAACTTCTCGAAGGAGCTGAACTATTCGTACCAGAGGTGAAGGCACCAGAACGGGTCAGTATATACCAGCCTCTGTTTGCACATCTGTAACACTATACGGTCTACTGACTTGTTGGTAATAAGCTGCTTAAATTAGAAATTGCTTTCAGTTGCACTGAGCTGACTAGACATTTGTCGTTGTGTAAATCATGAAATTTGTCTTTGAGCCGCAAAGAAAATGTTCCTGATCCATGTTCTTACATTGTGTCTCTCAGCTCATCATTCTGTCCAGTCATTACATTAAATCCTGGAGAATACAGAGTGTATTAATAACTTTCAGAGGCAGTATCATTGCTGTCATCTAGCTCAATGGGTACATGCCTGGAATGCTACTGAACCTGATACTTTGCCTGAATATATTTAGTTGGTCTCAGTTAAGGAATGATTGTGATGAGAAAGATGGAGAGCTTCAATTATCCTCTGCATTCTTATGATAATAAAGGGAAATCAAGACAAGTAATAGCTAGTGATATCTGCTTGAATGGTATTTCAGTTGACTTTGGATAAAGAGATGGTTGGACTCTGAAAAGGTGACTGACACTCGCTCACAGTTGAAGAATGGGCACAAGAGAGTTGTGGAATCATGCACCAGTACAAAGCAGCACCTTTAGTAGCGAGGAAAATATTTAATTTAAGAAGTTGTTACTTATCACACTTTTCTTTAAACCATGTTTGGGAATTGCCTGCTGTGTTTTACGAGTCTGTCTCTTTCAGAACCCGGAGCTGGTCGCCCGACTGGAGAAGATAAAAGCAAAACTGGCAAATGAGGAATACAAGCGCATCACAAGGAATGTCGACTGCAAGGTACCGTCATGTGAGCCATCCCCGAACTGTTCCTTCCATCTCTGTCTGGTCTGCAAGTATTAAACAAAGACTGTTAGTAACAGCACAGCCACATTAACTGTATGTATCTGCCCTAATATTTATTCATTTGTGTTCTTCTGTTTGTAGCAGATGAACCGTTTTGGTACTTTGGGAAATTTGGGACGAGAAGGTTAGTGGATTTTATATGAAGACTTGTTTCTTCCTGTGAATTTCCTTTCCTAAACTCTACTCATATGTACAAAGGAACCTTAAAGATGCCTTGCACGCTCTGCCAGCTGTTGTAATTGCTTGCAGTGCAAGCAGCAGTGTGAGGTTGCTTCCTAAACTGTGCTGTTTGTTTAACACAGTGAGATCGGTGAAGGCAGTTGTGGTGACCATCTTTAATTTCCTTCTAACGGTGGTGGCCTCATTTGCCTGTGCCTACATTGGCAGCCAGTATATTTTCACAGAGACAGCAGCGGTGAGTAGAGCCTAGCGCATCAGCTAATGTCACCACAGTCCACCAAACCCCTGGGACATTGCTTGAGCATCAATAAGCATTCAGCTACTAAACTCAGAACATCCGTCTGGCTCAGTGGGTGCACTCACCTATGGAGTCCTAGGGTTCGAGCCTTGGCTTGTAATCATCTGGACATCTTAGTGCAGTTCTATGGGAGTGCTGTAAGCATTGTCAGGTGCTATCTTACAAGTGAGACAATTAGCTGTCCTGTTTGTCTGTAAAGCAATAAGCACCCTTTAGTGAAGCTCTTTCAGACATTTAAAGTGATAAAGCGCTTTATCATATGCTGCTTTTCTGATACTCGCAAATAAATAATCATTCATTCAAGTGGGAAGTTTTGATACCAGGGAAAACACTCAGTGAAGCATCAGTTGATAGCCTGGGAAGTGTTGCTGGAATGCTCTGTGCCTTGTGTGCATTATATTTAATTAAATGTAATCCTATTTAATTTGTTTCACCCTAGAAATGTACAGATAAATTCACTTTACAGTATATTCTGTGGCAAGATGTGATAAGACATTATGTCTAATGCAAGGATTATTAATTGAGGAATCGACATGAATTTGTGTAACCCTGTTTGTGTTTTGTTGCAGAGAGTGCTGTCGGCTGTGATTGTGGCCTCGGTGGTGGGTTTGGCTGAACTGTATGTGCTGGTGAGGACCATGGAAGGGGAGCTCGGAGAGATGTAGCGCTGGTACAACTCATATTACAGAAAAATTCAAATGTTTTCCTTAGGCCCTGTTTCACAACATGGAAACTGTTGGAACAGTGATCGTTCTTACACTGGAACCTTTCTACTGGATGTTTTTTCTAAAGTATGATGGACTTGGACTTTGTGTTAATATGTATTGAGAGATGTGTATTTTCTGTCAGAAAAAATATGAAATATTTTGTCTGTCTCTGTAAAAAAAAAATATATTTTTGGAACAGTTATAGGATCATGCTCACTAAGTTGTAACTGTTTCAGTGTTAATAGGTTAACCAGCGTCCTGTCAGCTCAATTGATAACTTCTGCATAAGAGTCCTGTAGTGTAGTAGTTAGAGCACCCGCCTCGCAAGTAAGAGGAACCAGGTTCAATTCCCGGGTGGGGCGAAACCTTAGGCAAGTCTCCTTACTCCATGCACCTGTTTACCTAGCAGTAAGTAGGAACCTGGTTGTTACGACAATTGGTGGATCACTATCCTGGGGTAATAATCCCTTCAATAATAAATAATAATTTGGTCACTCAATCCATGATGTGTTTGTGGAATACTGCTGTGAACAATTGGCTGCTGCATTTCACCCCCCCAACAAACTATACAATTCACAATTGACTTTACAGTACGCCATGTGAAGCGCATTGAGACATCTCAACGACAAGTTAAGGAGCTATGTCAAACACAGGGATTATTAAAACCAATAAAGTCTTTGAATAGCCAATCGAGTTACAACGGGGGCGAGATGTGGGAATATAAAGGAAAGCAAGAGTGGTGGTCCAGTGTGTGTCCTTGAACAGCTTGTGTGAGCGGCACAGAAGTGGTGGGGGGCACGGAGAAGAGAGAATACCACAAGATGGAATCCTAACCCGAGAGGTTGTTCTTGTTCGCAGATCGCCAGCAGCCATGCTGATTAATGTCCTGATATCTGTTAAACCTTCAAAGACTCTTGTTTATGATGGAATGGTAATAATAAAAAAAACAGGGTTTTATAAGTGACCCAAGTCATTCTATAAGTGTAGGATTCAGCTGTGTAGACACTGCGCTTACGACTTACCTTCCTTGAATCATTTGGGTCTGGGAGTAGGATTAAGGTATTTCTGAAGATTATGTGGCATTAACAGTGATCCTGCTGTGCTACCAGTGTCCTGTAGAGGCAGGTGCATGGCAGGTTGCAAACTGGTATGATTATCGGACTTGGGAGAATAGTAATAATAGCTTATAATACAGGAATGAAATCTGGATCCAGAAAACTACGACTGTAATTAAAAAGGAGATAATCTAACCGGCCCAAGCCTCCAGCAGATCAGATTCAATACAAAAGGGTTTTTTTTTATATAGAATAATGAAAAAAGTTGTGATCACTTGTTTTCATTATGTTTGTCCTTAAAGAGGGGGGAAAACTAGGCCAGAACAATCTTTCAAGCTCTAGATTAAACAGGGGATCAAAAAGTATACAGCGGGATCAAAATTGTCAGTAGTCAGGTATCAGGAGAGCTTAGGCAATCTTTATTTAATTTAGATATACAGAGTTTTAAAATAATCGTTACAAAGTGGGAGAAGGAAAAAACTTGTTCTCAAAAGCATCGTATTCCACTGAAATCAAACAAGATTAACAGTTCAAAATCAAGATCTTCAATTTGTCAAAGGATCTTGCACCTGGTCAAAGGACAAAGTTGAGTTCATAAATTGTTATTGCTATAGTGATGGGACTCCTTTTAATAGTCCCTGGTCACTGCAAGGTCACTAATCTGTCTTTCTCTCAAATTGCATCTGAGGGTCTTGTTGGGAGGGGGAGGAGGGGGCTGGTGTGTTCGGCACCAAATGCATTTGGAAACCGCTTTCTCCTAGAGAGAGGAACCTGGTGGCAGTTTAAAAGATGTGAGCACTCAATCAACAACTGTATGTGGGCACTGCTGTGCACAAGTTACACATCAAACTCCACCAACGAAACTAAACAATGATCTGGCTAGCTAACATACCTCTTCAAATGTGGGTCTCCCACTGTCCAGAAAACCAAAAGTCCTGACCTCACTTGCAGTCAGCGTCTTTGAATTTACTGACCACATTCTCCACGGAGACAGGGGGTTGGAAGGAAGGGAGTATTTAACCAGTGTCTTGGCTAATGATCCAACAGATCAATTATAATAATAAATTAGTCATTCACTCCATGGCTTCTTGTGAGAATTTGCTGCTTGCAGAATGGCTGCAGTGTTTGCCTACAAACTCAGTCCCTGAACCTGACAGCAATTACCTATGCAGTACATTTAGAGACATTCTGACATTACAGACTCTATATTAATTGCATGGATTATTGTAAAGATGTCAAGTGTATAAATCTTATCTGAGCGGTGCGCTTTCTGCCAAGATTTCTGCAACAGGATATCTGGACTGTATAGATAAGGAGTTCCAGGTAAGTTCGGAGCCCAGGTGTGCTGGAAAGAATTTCACAAACAAATGAACCTGAGTCCCGATAGGTGTTGTGTTCAGATGATGCCGTGTTGGTTACATGTTGGTGACGATCGCAGCGTTGTAGATGAGATCTGAAATGTAACCCAGGGAAGTGTGCACTCCAGCCTCTACCTGCTCTCCTTGTGCTTGCTCCAGGCAGCTCTGCCTGCTTGGCACCACTTGATCAGACACAGAGAGCTTTCCGAAGTTGCTGATATGGCTCCCCGAGCTGGCTCCTTTGCTCCTAAAGCCAAGATCGCCATTGAACTGGTCGAACCCACCATCGTGCCTGTTGCACCCACTGTGGCCTTGTGCTTCGTGTTGGGAGCTGACGGCCAAACCATTCTCCCACAGGAACTGGTCCAGGAATCCCGGTGAGAGGTCTGATGGGCAGCTCTGGAGATGATGTTGCTGATGTTGTTGCTGCATTGAGGCTTCGTGGCTGAACCTGGGTCCAGTCGGGTTCCCGTAGTCCACCTCTTGCATGTTGAAGTGAACAGTTCTGAAATCAGGCTCTCTGGGAATGGGGGAAGAGGTAAAGTTTCCTGGCAAACGGCAGGGGCTCTGGGCTGTTCCCCACGACATTCGCTTCCTCAGTTTCTTCCCCTGCTTCATACAGCGTGCCCGGCGATTCTGAAACCACACCTGAAAGGCAATGTGCACAGAAATAATAATAATCCTTGCATTTGATTTAGCGCCTTATGCCTTCAAGACATCTCAAAGAGCTTCAGAGAATATACTGTGAAGTGAATTGACTGCATATTTTGTGGGAGAAACACGGCAGCCAATTGCATACATCAGCGTCCCACAAATAGACGTCATAAATGTCATAATTTGTCAGTAAAAAAAATTCCTACATCAACTCATCCTAACTTGGAAAGTGAACTCACAGCATAAGGAATGTTTAAGGACAGAGTCAGGCTCACTCAGACACCCTCCTGCCGAGTTAGCCTGACTGAGCCTAAGCGAGCAGTGTCTCTTTTAAGAAGCCCTATGAAGATAAAGGTCTGATTAATCTTCCCAGCCCCTATAATAGGCACCGTATGAGGTTGGGGGGAAGAAGCTGGAGGTGAGAGACTTAGGTAAAAAGTACAGGAAGCATCAGCCTCCAAAACAGGTGGATAAACGGTGTTGAAGTATTGTTGGTTTTGCTGTTTATTCCAGTAACAAAGGTTAATGGAATAAACAGCCACCGAACCTGGAGCAGACATCCCTAGACATCCTCGGTCACGCCCAGGACTGTCAGGTCCCCTCCCCCCTCTTGTAATAGCCAAATAACCAGCTGAGACTCACTATCTCCACCCATTTGCACAAGGTAGCAAGCCTGTCGAATTGTATCCCACCGTGAGTCAATTTCGGCAGAGATACAGAGAGAGACCGAAGATCTCTCAGTGATTATCTTCTCTTGTTTTACAGGATGATAATGGTTAATGCAAACGTAAAATATGAATTGCCAACAAATTATAACTAAACATTAATAGGCTGAACAATGACTGATATACCAACATGCTACACTATATCACCCCACCATATTTCATCAAATGTAACCTGCTTCCCTAAAGCTTCCAAGACCTTAGTAAAGATAATGCAGCGTTACTAAAATAAATACTAACTGCGTATAGTCACTTACAAGGTGCCATGAAAAAATACTGTATTCTGGATGGCCGCTCCATCTGCCTACCCTAATCTCTCATTCTATCTGTCTATCTAAGGCTCGCTCTGTCTGTCTCCCTCCCTGTGGGTTGCATTCATACGAGACATTAAACTGTCTGCCTGATCAGGTGGATGTTAATGATCCCAATGCATTTTTCGAAAAGAGAAGAGTTTCTCCCAGTGTCCTGGTCAACAATCCTCCAGATAAAACAGTAGTCTTCACTACACGGCTGTTTGTGGAACATTGCTCTGCTCAAATTGGCTGCTACTACACAAAAAAAAACAGTGGAGCACCTTGAGATGTAATACTCTGTGATAAGGTGCCATATCAAAGACAGAATTGTTATTTACCTGGATTTTGGACTCGGGGAGCCTGGTAATCTCAGCCAGTCCCTCCCTCATGTTGATGTCAGGGTAGGGGGTCACCACGAAAGCCTTCTCCAGCTCGCTCAGCTGCCACCGGCTGAAGATGGTCCTCTTCCTCTTGCGTTGGCCCTCAGCCATAAACCCCACCAACTCCACCGCCTCGGGCAGCGATACCATCTGCGGCACAGCATCTGATAGGACAACACAAAGACAAGCACCCATCAGCCCAGGAACATGAACATTCCTCTTACTCTGACCACTCAATCCCCACTGCCCCCCCACCTAACCACCCCCCCCCCCCCCCACACACACACACACATTCAACCCAACCCACAGCCCCTGGATTCCACTCCAATCCCACCTCTAACCCCATCCTCAAGCTACAATTTCACAGAAAATATAATCACTCTTCTGCTAGGCAGTGCTGGGCAACCCTTGGCCCGCGGGCCGCAAGTGGCCCGCTCGGCGTCAACCCCCTCCTCAACACTCTCACCAGGGCAGCCCCAAGTCCCACGTTCGCTCAATCAACATTTCTAGGTTTTTCCTGATTGGATATTCCTTGAGTCAGGTCAATAAATCGTGAAACAATTCAATCGAGAAAATGTTACTTTTCCTCAATCTCAAACCGGTTACACAAACTCGCGGCCAATCTGAACAGTCATCAGAAACCAACACAGGGGAAGAGAGTAACTCTGAGGAGGAGTGGAATCACTCTCGAGTTGGTGCGTTGCGATAGATTTGAATACATCTCTACATCGTAGAACTCGGACTGACCTGAACACAGACACAGTCACACACTCTCACACTCAGACACACACTCAGACACGGGCTCAGTCAGTCTCTGCCTCTGGTTGTGGGGGTCTCAAGTCAATCGTAACTCAAAAGCACCAACAACTTTATATTAAGTGACTGCAGAACTTCGCCGGGAATTGGAAGGAAGAAGTCCCAAGTCACACGAGTTGGTTGTGATGTGACCCAAACCCTGAACTCTGTCCACACACCCACTCGCCATGGACCATGTTAGTTGTCTCACCCTTCTCACAGACTCCTGCTCCCTCGATGCTCTTGTGAGTCTGGCTCTGGAGCTCCGGCCCCGTCAAACACACCGACTGCAGGAAACTCTCCATCAGTCAGTCAGTCGCTGTGCAAACTGCTTCTCTGGAAGGAGGAGGAATAACTCTGCACTGTCTCTCTCTCTCTCTCTCCCCTCTCTCTCTCTCTCTGCTTGTCTGTGCTCTCCTGTGTGTGGCTCCTGTGATCTCCTGCCTGTGCTCCCTGTGTGTGGCTCCTGCCTGTGCTCCCTGTGTGTGGCTCCTGCCTGTGCTCCCTGTGTGTGGCTCCTGCCTGTGCTCTCCTGTGTGTGGCTCCTGTGCTCTCCTGCCTGTGCTCCCTGAGTGTGGCTCCTGCCTGTGATCTCCTGTGTGTGTGGCTCCTGCCTGTGCTCCCTGTGTGTGCTCTCCTGCCTGTGCTCCCTGTGTGTGGCTCCTGCCTGTGCTCCCTGTGTGTGGCTCCTGCCTGTGCTCCCTGTGTGTGGCTCCTGCCTGTGATCTCCTGCCTGTGCTCTCCTGTGTGTGTGGCTCCTGCCTGTGCTCCCTGTGTGTGGCTCCTGCCTGTGCTCCCTGTGTGTGGCTCCTGCCTGTGCTCCCTGTGTGTGGCTCCTGCCTGTGCTCCCTGTGTGTGGCTCCTGCCTGTGCTCCCTGTGTGTGGCTCCTGTGTGTGGCTCCTGCCTGTGCTCCCTGTGTGTGGCTCCCTGTGTGTGCGCTCCTGCCTGTGCTCCCTGAGTGTGGCTCCTGCCTGTGCTCCCTGAGTGTGGCTCCTGCCTGTGGCTCCTGCCTGTGCTCTCCTGCCTGTGCTCCCTGAGTGTGGCTCCTGCCTGTTCTCTGCCCTTCTGGCCTTTTTGTAGCCTGACCCGTCCCTCAGGAGCGCAGGTGCCGAAGCCCCAGTCCCACACCTCTTGTCCCCTTTCAAGCAGCCGCCCTTTGTGTGGGTGTCAGTCAGTGTGAAGCTTTGAGGCTCAGCGCCGCCTTGTCATCTCCATCCCATTGTGGCTGTGAATGGTGCAAACAGACAGACAGACTCTCACTCACTCACTCACTCACAGCCCCAAGTCTGATCAGCTGTGTGCAATCCACGTCAGGGCACCTATCCTCACAGCTCTGCCAGACAGCTTCACACCCTGTTTAGCTGAGCACACACACACCACACACACACACCACACATACACACAGGAAGAGACACACACCGGCAAATCAGACGGGTTAAAAAAACATACCACACCACACTTTTGTAGGCAGGTTCCAACTAGTGTGTGCACAGCAGCGAGGTTTCAGTATTTCTTACTTACACACATGCTCTTTTTTTTTTAACTCTGCAGCTCATAAACTCACTTCCTTAAATCTGTCAGGATCTCAAACCCTTTGAATCCCGGCGAATGCTGCATTTTTTGGAACATTTGATAGTTAAAAGAATATTTGAAGTCATGCGATCCATGATATCTGCCAATTGCTGCCTCCAGTTATTTTGATTTAAGAATCCCCGAGTATTGTTGCAGTTGCATTTACTTACTTGCGCTACAGATGATAATAATCCTTGCATTTGATACAGCGCCTTATCACGTTGTTGAGACGTCTCAAAGCGCTTCGCAGAATATACTGCAAACTGGATTAACTGTGTACTTTGACTGTTAAGAGCCCTCGCCTTACAAGCGAGAGGACTTGGATTCAATTCTCGAGTGAGGCGAAACCTAAGGCAAGTTTCCTTACTGCACACTCCTCTGTATACCTGGCAGTAAGTAGGAACCCAGTTGACGGATTGATTTCTGGGAGTAATAATCCCTCAAAAATATATGGTCACTACTGTTTGTGGGGACGCTGCTGTGTGCAATTGGCTGCCGTGTTTCGCTCACAAAATATACAGTCAATTCCCTTTACAGTATATTCTGTGAAGCGCTTTGAGACGTCTCGAAGACGTGATAAGGCGCTGTATCAAATGCCGGGAACATTATTATTATATTTTTTAAAAAATCTCATTTAAAGGAAGCTGGGAACTAACGCCTTCGACAACGAGTGGTGCGAGTCTGTCTTACTTAAAATTAAAGTGAGTGCAGAGCTCAGAGTCGGAATCCCCCTCTTCTCAGTATGAATCACTATGTGTATTTGTGGTAGCACTACACAATACTGACTGAGGCTGGTGTTGGGACAAACACCACTTCAATACACACCCCAGACCAGCTGCTCTCTCTGTGTAGTGCCTGGACCCTGACTTCAGGAAGGATTTAACACTTGCAGCACTTTACTGAGAGCATCTTTCATCCCAGTTTCCTTAATGGGATCCGTGGATGAGTGTTACTGAGTACATGTTGCATCTGTCACTTGGTCCTGTCTGTATTGGACAGACATTGTCTGTCAATATTTCTGGAGTCCTGTAGCTCAGTGGTTAGAGCACTCGCTTTGCGAGCGAGAGACCTGAGTTCAATTCCAGGCAGAGGGTGAAACCTTGGGCAAGTTTCCTTACTCCACACAGAGCCTAATAATAATCCTCCAAAACCAAAAACAACAATAAATTGGTCATTTTGAATCTACGACACTTTGTGGGACATTGCTGTGCACAATTGGCTGCCGCGTTCGCCCACAAATATACAGTCAATTCACTTTACAGTGTGTTCTGTGAAGCGCTTTGGGACGTCCTCCCGACGTGAAAAGCGCTATATCAAATGCGAGGATTATTATTATTATTATTATTGTACATCTCTCTCTGGCACTGTCTCTCCCTGTCTGTCAGTACAGTCTCTTTCTCTCTGTCCTTAACCAGTGTCTCTCCCCCATCTGTACCCAATCTCTCTCTCGCCCCCTGGGTGCCAGCCTCTCGCCCCCTGTGTGCCAGCCTCTTGCCCCCTGTGTGCCAGCCTCTCGCCCCCTGTGCCAGCCTCTCGCCCCCTGTGCCAGCCTCTCTCCCCCTGTGTGCCAGCCTCTCTCCCCCTGTGAGAGCCTCTCTCCCCCTGTGCCAGCCTCTCTCCCCCTGTGCCAGCCTCTCGCCCCCTGTGCCAGCCTCTCTCCCCCTGTGCCAGCCTCTCGCCCCCTGTGCCAGCCTCTCTCCCCCTGTGCCAGCCTCTCTCCCCCTGTGCCAGCCTCTCGCCCCCTGTGTGCCAGCCTCTCTCCCCCTGTGTGCCAGCCTCTCTCCCCCTGTGCCAGCCTCTCTCCCCCTGTGCCAGCCTCTCGCCCCCTGTGTGCCAGCCTCTCTCCCCCTGTGCCAGCCTCTCTCCCCCTGTGTGCCAGCCTCTCGCCCCCTGTGCCAGCCTCTCGCCCCCCCCCCTGTGTGCCAGCCTCTCTCCCCCTGTGCCAGCCTCTCTCCCCGTGCCAGCCTCTCTCCCCCTGTGCCAGCCTCTCTCCCCCTGTGTGCCAGCCTCTCGCCCCCTGTGTGCCAGCCTCTCTCCCCCTGTGAGAGCCTCTCTCCCCGTGCCAGCCTCTCTCCCCCTGTGCCAGCCTCTCTCCCCCTGTGCCAGCCTCTCTCCCCCTGTGAGAGCCTCTCTCCCCGTGCCAGCCTCTCTCCCCTGTGCCAGCCTCTCTCCCCCTGTGCCAGCCTCTCTCCCCCTGTGCCAGCCTCTCTCCCCCTGTGCCAGCCTCTCTCCCCCTGTGCCAGCCTCTCTCCCCCTGTGCCAGCCTCTCTCCCCCTGTGCCAGCCTCTCTCCCCCTGTGCCAGCCTCTCGCCCCCTGTGCCAGCCTCTCTCCCCCTGTGCCAGCCTCTCGCCCCCTGTGCCAGCCTCTCGCCCCCTGTGCCAGCCTCTCTCCCCCTGTGCCAGCCTCTCGCCCCCTGTGCCAGCCTCTCGCCCCCTGTGCCAGCCTCTCTCCCCCTGTGCCAGCCTCTCGCCCCTGTGCCAGCCTCTCGCCCCCTGTGCCAGCCTCTCGTCCCCTGTGCCAGCCTCTCTCCCCCTGTGCCAGCCTCTCTCCCCCTGTGCCAGCCTCTCCCCCCTGTGCCAGCCTCTCGCCCCCTGTGCCAGCCTCTCTCCCCCTGTGCCAGCCTCTCTCCCCCTGTGCCAGCCTCTCTCCCCCTGTGCCAGCCTCTCTCCCCCTGTGCCAGCCTCTCTCCCCCTGTGCCAGCCTCTCTCCCCCTGTGCCAGCCTCTCTCCCCCTGTGCCAGCCTCTCTCCCCCTGTGCCAGCCTCTCTCCCCCTGTGCCAGCCTCTCTCCCCCTGTGCCAGCCTCTCTCCCCCTGTGCCAGCCTCTCGCCCCCCTGCTGGTGCCCTCAGGAGCCGCACTGTGTGTGTTTGGGTACCTGTGGCTCTCGGGCTGCAGTGGGAGGGAGAGGGCGAGTCTCATGTGCTCCGCGAACAGCGGGTAAGTGACCCTCTCACTGTCACCAAACCCCCCCCGAGACCCCCCCCCGGCACTGACCCCCCCCCCCCACCCCCGGCACTGACCCCCTCTCGGTCAGTCCCTGAGTCTGTCTGTGCCCTCACAGGGCGGCGGCACAGGTCGGAGACGGTTCCGGAGAGGACGGGATCCAGGAATCCAACGTGTTGGTGGCTCTCAGGTAACTGTTACATTGCGGGAGAGACAGTGTGTGAGAGACAGACAGTGTGTGTGAGACAGACAGACAGACAGTGTGTGTGAGAGAGACAGACAGACAGTGTGTGAGAGGGAGACAGTGTGTGTGAGACAGACAGACAGACAGTGTGTGAGAGGGAGACAGACAGTGTGTGTGAGAGAGACAGACAGACAGTGTGTGTGAGAGATAGACAGACAGTGTGTGTGAGAGAGACAGACAGACAGTGTGTGTGAGAGACAGACAGACAGTGTGTGTGAGAGAGACAGACAGACAGTGTGTGAGAGGGAGACAGTGTGTGTGAGACAGACAGACAGTGTGTATGAGAGAGAGAGACAGTGTGTGAGAGACAGACAGTGTGTGTGAGAGACAGACAGACAGTGTGTGAGAGGGAGAGAGACAGTGTGTGAGAGACAGACTGTGTGTGTGAGAGACAGACAGTGTGTGAGACAGTGTGTGTGAGAGACAGACAGTGTGTGAGACAGACACAGTGTGTGAGAGACAGACAGTGTGTGTGAGAGACAGACAGTGTGTGAGACAGTGTGTGTGAGAGACAGACAGTGTGTGTGAGAGACAGACAGTGTGTGAGAGACAGACAGTGTGTGTGTGTTTGAGAGAGACTGACAAGTGGAGATGGAGGGCCACAGAAAGAGAACATGAAAGAGACAGAGAGGAAAATAGTGACCAGTGAGAGAGACAGTGATAAGAGTGACAGAGAGACGAAGTGACAGAGAGCGACACAGACAGACAGCGGTGCCGAGAGTGACACGGAGAGAACTTGGGAGTCTGCTCATCATTGGATTATTATTCTTTTTGTTCTCTCTCTCGTTTCGCCCACAAGATACACAGTCAACTCACTTCACAATATATTCCGTGAAGCGCTTTGAGGTGTCTCACTGTCGCGATAAGGCGCTGCATCAAATGCAAGGATTGTTATTATTATTATTATATGTGACTGACAGCAGTGGGTCTACATGAGCAGGTGACAGACAGAATCTCTCGTCCTGTCCTGTGTTGACAGGATTCGGCCTTTGAATGGATCCGAGGTCAGGAGAGGGACTCAGTCCGTGCTGCAGTGCCCTGGACCCAACACGGTGCAGGTGAGTCTGAGGGTCAGGCTCGGTCCACACTCTGCCTATGTGGTGGGTCAGAGGGAGTGAGGCTGTCTGTGGATTGGGGGGGGGAGTGAGTCTGTGTGTGGATGGGGGTGGGGGGGTGGGGGGAGCGAAGCTGTGTGTGGAGTGGGAGGGAGTGTCGCTGTGTGTTGGTCAGAGCGAGTGACGCTGCGTGTGGAATGGGAGGGAGTGATACTCTGTTCTAAAGGCACGAAAGGTGACTGGTTATTTACAGGTGAACCTGGGTGTCAGGGAGAAGATCTTCACGTTTAACGCGGTGTTTGACCAGGAAGCCTCCCAGCAGGACATCTTCGATCGCTGCAACATGCAGCGGCTGATCAGCTTGGCCTTGACAGGGTAAAGGTGCTCCCTCTGTCTGGGTCCAACACAGGGCAGGTCAGAGAGTGACAGGGAGTGTACACTGGGAGTGAATCTGCGCAGTCACTAGACTTCACAGTATATCTGTCGCGTGAAGCACTTTGAGAAGCCCTCCTGATACGAAAGGCGCTGTGTCAAATGCAAGAATTATTATTCATCATTATTATATCACTGAGAGCGAAGGGCCCACTCTCTCCTGGTGGGAATCGTTGATTCCCGTCACTGAGGGTAATGTAACATACTGTACCTCCCACAGTGACTCGCGGAAGGTGGACTCTGGCAATGAATAACATGAAAGCCACAGCCAACATCAGTGTGAGAACTTGGTGGGGGTTGGGGAGTCAGAGTAGGGTTAATGAGCCAGCAGCTGGAGGGGGCTGGGGATTAACGTGGGGTGGGAGGAAGGTGGCGGGAGGTTGAGACCATCTATCACCCCTCTCCAGCTCTGTTTCCAGGGCATCAAGGCTAGCGACATGGGCAGATGTGCTCTCACCATGCGCTGTGAACCTGGTTTGCCCTCGTGCCCTTCAGTGTGTGGGAAGGAATGTGAATGCTGATGTCTACACTGCCCTGGAGGTCCTCTCTCTCTCCCCCGCACCCCTCCCACCCCACGCAGGGCTGCTGATGTGAAGCCTCTCTGTTATAGGTACGCCTGCACCGTGTTTGCTTTTGGTCAGACGGGATCAGGAAAGACCTTCACGGTGACGGGACCAGTTACAATGGTGAGCCTCAGGCAGGTTGCTGGTAACTCATTAACTACCAGCTGTCAGGCTTGGCTGGAGACCCCAGTTTGGCCTCCTTTTAGAGGAATAAGCTATTTGTAAACACCTCAACCACACGCGTCTCGGCAAATGATCAGCGCAGTTTAACTCCGCGATGGCTACAGGGAGACAGACCATTGATCTCGACTGTTCTCCTCAGGGAGATGGAAGTGGGAGCTCCTTGGAGCTGATCGGTGACAAAAGTGACTTTGGCCACGGAATGTCACAATCAAGTCCATCCTGTGGCGATCTTGACAGACCTGTAGCTGTATTCCGGGGCACTCACTCCTGACGGCAGCACAGCCCAGCCTGGCTCATAAACAGGACCTGGAAGGGTCGACCAGTCACTGGGGGGCAGGGAATCCTCCCACTCAGCATCTGTTAACCCTGAAAGCCAAAGCCCTAACGGCTAGGGTGGCGTTTTTCAAAAAGAGAAGGGAATTTCTCTCTCCTGGTGTCCTGGACAACAATTCACCAAATAAAATTGGTCTCTCGCTCCATGGCTATTTGCGGGACATTGCTCGGCGCAAACCTGGCTGACGTCCTCCCCCGCGTGAAAGGCGCTACACACACGTAATCTTGTATTGTGTGGTGTCTCTGGCTGCAGTGTGCTGGTGGCTGTCGGGAAGCCAGGCTGAGTGGGTTGATGTGCCGATCGCTGGCTGCGTTACTGGAGGAGGCGCGGGGCAGGAGTGCGCAGTTCACCTTCTCGGCCTCCTACCTGGAGATTTACAACGAGCAGGTACAACAACAACCTGCATTTATACAGCGCTCCAGCTACGTGGGGTGGGGGGAAGGGGGGAGACACTGCGGGCAGGCGGGGAGCACTCTTCTCCAGCAGGGTGAAGTGCAGTCCACAGACACTTCCCCCCCACTCCCGGCTGCGCTGGAGTTGGATGTGAATTTTACATTGAAGTGTCTCAAAGTGCTTCACGGTGATTTGCTGTTACTGGGATTTTTTTAGGTTACCATTGGATTGCATTGGATTCCTCTGACCACGATACACCCGGTCTCTTTTCCAGCAGTGTTTGCGGGACACTGCTGTGGGCAATTGGCTGCCGCGTTTTGCCCACAAAATATACACTTCAATTCGCTTTGTTGTATATTCTGCGCTGTGGTTCGAGGTGCCTCGACGATGTGAGAAGGTGCTATATCAAATACAAGGACTACTATTATTAATGTCATTGATGGGAGTGGCGTTTCTCCCTTATAGGTCAGGGACCTCCTAAATCCTCGGCTCTCAGACTCGCTGCCTGTGCGCTGGAGTAAACACCGAGGCTTCTACGTGGAGAATCTCTTCAGTGCAAAGTTTCAGAGTCTGCAGAAGATTGTGGGTCTTCTCGAGGAAGGTACCGTGGTCCATCCACATCAGAGCAGATCAGAGCAGCACGTACAGAGACTGGCCTGAGGCTGGGCTGTGAGGAATGACTAGCTAAGCCGTGCCGAGATGTAAAGAGGGCAGCTTATCAACAAATATCAGTCAACCCAGAACAATGGTCTCAGAGATAAGGCGGGGGCAGCAGGACAGGAGGGCACAGGTTTTACACGAACCACCCCTACCCCACTGCCAGCACCCCACCCCCATCACAAACTCTCTACATTATCCACAAACAATTCAAAGCCAAGAGTAGTGCGGAGCCCATATAGCGGTGTGTGACAACCTCCCACCACCCCACACACAACACAGACCCCAACCACACACACACACACACACACAACAACCTCCCCCACCCACTCACACACACGTACATATCCACAGGCCTCTATAGACACAAATATACGCACACATATACAGAGATACATATATTTCTACCCACAACCTGTTACATACATACACACAGCCCTGACCTAATACACACAAGTAACGTCCCAATGCTCGCAGCTGCCTTGTAATTAAAACTGAGGTCCTTGTGATGGAGCTGCACTGCATTACCTCGGCCGGTAGATGACGATATGACTCTTTACTGCAGACCCCGATTGCTTTGTTACTGGCACCTGGCCCCAGTACACGTCATTGCACAGCAACCACACCAGAGAGCACACAACGGCAACAGCATCGTAAAGTGGTCGGGGCTCTCAATGGAAAGCTGTGCAGTTTTTTTTTAGTTGGTTAAACTTCCAGCGGTTACCCCAACGCACACTCTGGGGTCCCCCAAGCCTTGGCTCTAGCCAACCTGTGCCGAATACTTCCCAGAAATAGGTAAGAGGGGTGCGTCCTGCCAGGGAGAGCGCACATCCCATTCAGTCCAGACATGGGGTAGGTAACGTACTCTTTATTTTGGATAGTCTTTAAGGGAACTGTAATTGTGTTTCTGTGTGTGTCAGACACCCGCCTGATACCCAAACATTAGTGAAGGGTTAATGCCGATCAGTCACCTTGTTGCAGGCTGTCGCTTCCCAGGTCCCGGCTGCAGGTTAGAGCTGTCCCACGTGATCTTGTCCCACGTTAATTTGTCTCCAGTTGCTGAGCCCTGTCTCCCCTCAGGCACCAGGAACAGGCAGACTTCCGCACACCACCTGAATGGGAACTCCAGTCGGTCTCACACACTGCTCACCATCGAGATCGAGAGCGAGGCGGTGAGTGAGAGCCTGCGTACAACCGTGAGCACACGTGACATTATAAACATGTATGTAATCGTGAGCCCGTGTGTAATTGTTAACCCACATGTAATGATACGTGGATGTCCTCGGTTCACCACCCAAGTACAGAGTCCTGTAGCATAGTGGTTAGCGCGCTTGCCTCACTAGCAAGAGGTCCCAGGTTTCCTTACTCCGCACTGCTCTGTTTTCCTAGCAGGAAGAAGGAACCCGGTTGTTAGTCGATTTGGGTGATCGCTGTCCAGGGGTAATAATCCCTACAAAAAAGGATTGGTCCCTCAATCCACGAACTGTTTGTGGGACGCTGCTGTGCGCAATTGGCTGCCGCGTTTCGCCCACAAAATACACAGTCAATTCACTTTACAGTATCTTCTGTGAAGCGCTTTGAGACGTCTCAACAACGCGATAAGGCGCTATAACAGATGCAAGGATGATTATTATTATATTATTAAGTGGCATTTCTTCACCTGTGATCATTGACGCAGGATAGCAGTCGGTCACTGAGCTGCCGGGTTTGCCCAGTGTAACATTGCTGTGTTTGGTGCAGGCAGATCACATCCACAGCCCTGGGTTCGTCTCCAAACACGGGAAGCTGTGCTTTGTCGACCTTGCGGGGAGTGAAAGGGTTAAAGAGACAAGATCAACCGAGGAAATGATTATAGAGGCCAATAATATCAATCGCAGCCTGCTGGCACTGGGTAAGGGATGTTCCGGGGCGGAGGGTGGGAGAGGTTGGGGGGATGTAGATTGCGGGAGGGTTGGTGGGGGGTCTGTGTGTAACTGTGTATCTGGGCTGCGACGTGTCAGACTGAGCAGAAAGGTGTGCGCGGATGAGAAGTTAAACTCACTCTGTTCCTCAGGGAACTGTATCTCGGCGCTTGTGGATTGCAGGAAGCGAGAGGGTCACATCCCGTACAGGGACAGCAAACTGACCAAACTGCTGGCGGAGTCGCTGGGAGGATCCGGAGTCACCCTCATGGTAACTGTCGTCCTCGCCGTGTGTCCGAGGCTCGGCTGGTGCTCGGCCCCGAGCCATGTTTCAGGCGCGTGTTGTTCCGTGTACAGGTTGCACCGTCCCATGTACCAGCCATGTTGCGTGCTGTGCCGATGACGTCTCTCTGTTTGGCCGCAGATCGCCTGTGTCTCACCCTCGCCGCTCAGCCTGGCCGAGACCATGAGCACCTTACGCTTCGCGAGCAGAGCCCGAAGGGTAAAGAACCGACCAGCTGTCAGACTGGTAAATCCTAGCTTCTGCGCCGATCCTCTTCCCTGCTTGCCCCCCATCCCCCCACGTGCCCCTGCTCCCCCCACCCCATCACATCCTCCCAAATTGTTATTGTGGTTGTTTCTGTGAAATATCTGGATGTTGGTCCTGTGAGGAGCTATTGTCAGTGGGATGTGCTGCTGCTCCGTTCTCTCACTGTGACACAGTGGCCCAAACGCCATCTCTCTCGCTCTCTCTCAGGACCCAAAAGACAAGCTAATTGTGGGCTTGCAGCGAGGGATTAGGGTGTTACAGACCGAGAACATGTCACTACGACAACAGCTTCAGCTCCCGCTTGCCCACAGCAACGAGAAAATCCTCAATGGTGAGTGAGATCCTGACTCTGACCTGGGAGTGTGGACGGACGCACAGTGTAGAGGAGCTTTACTGTGTCTCTAACCCTGACCTGGGAGTGTGGACGGACGCACAGTGTAGAGGAGCTTTACTGTGTCTCTAACCCTGACCTGGGAGTGTGGACGCACAGTGTAGAGGAGCTTTACTGTGTCTCTAACCCTGACCTGGGAGTGTGGACGGACGCACAATGTAGAGGAGCTTTACTGTGTCTCTAACCCTGACCTGGGAGTATGGACGCAGTGTAGAGGAGCTTTAATGTGTCTCTAACCCTGACCTGGGAGTGTGGACGGACGCACAGTGTAAAGGAGCTTTACTGTGTCTCTAACCCTGACCTGGGAGTGTGGACGCACAGTGTAGAGGGAGCTGGACAGTTTGGTTCTCACACTGAGGTCTCTCTCGGGATATGAACCTGTTGTAACGATGGCTGTGTGTGTGTGGTTGTTGTGTGTGTGTGTGTGGGTGTGTGTGTGTGGGTGTGTGTGTGTGTGTGTATGTGGGGTGTGTGTGTGTATTTGTGGTTGTGTGTGTGGGGTGTGTGTGTGTATGTGTATGTGTGGTTGTGTGTGTGTATATGTGTGGTTGTGTGTGTATATGGTGGGTGTGTGTGTGCGTTGGCAGATCCCGGGGACCGGTGCTGTGATGATTGTGGATGCGGCTGTACGTTGCTGGCGTCAGCGTCACAGCACAGTCTGTACGAGATGCTACAGGAGTTTGTGATCGAGAACGAGCAGCTGAGGTAGGTGGGTCTGGGGTTGTCAGCGTGGGTGGGGGGGCGGGCGGGGGAGAGACAGTTGGGGTGGTGGGAGGTGTGGGGGAAAGACGGGAGACCCAGTGAGGGAGAGGCAGTAAATAAGCGCCGTGCCCGCCACTGTCAAGCGCTCTGGGACACTACCCTGTGTGAGGGGCGTTGTGTAAATGCAAGTTGTTGTTGCGTTCAACCGGAAGAATCCAGTCACCACACTGCACAGTGGGCTGTGAGAGAGAACGAGAGAGAGAGAGAGAGAGAGGCTGTTGATCGTGAGGACGGTTGTGGTTTCAGGCAGGAGAAACAGCAGCTGCTGAGCAGTCAGGAGAGCAGTCGCTGTGAGCACAGACTCCTTCTTCAGCAGAACCGCAGACTGTCCCGTAAGCTGTGCCGCCTGGAGAGGTAGGGGCCGTCACACCCCACCCTGGGCTCCGCTCTGCAACCCCCACCCGCGATCATCCCTCGTGGAGTTCTGTAGCTCAGTAGTTGGAGCACTCGCTTTGCAAGCGAGAGAGCCTGGGTTTGATTCCCGGGTGGGGCGAAACATCAGGCAAGTTTCCTTACTCCACACACACGCACACACACACGCCCCTCTTCACCAAGCAGTACGTAGGAACCCAGTTTTTAGGCGATTGACGGATTGCTTTCCGGGGGGTAATAATCCCTTCATATTTTTTTGAAGCCTCTCTCTGTTCCTGGTCCCACAACAGAGCCATCCTCTCCTCCCCTCACGGCCTCTCTCGCTGCCAGTCGGGTTGTTCCTGTCACAGTGTGGAGAGCTGTGAGAGCCAGACTCAGCCTCCGGGGGAACGCAGCTGTTCCAGATACAGACAGGTGAGACATACACACACGCACACACTTCATCTCTCTCTCTCCACCCTTCCTCTCCCCCCCCCCTCCCCCATGTAGGGCTGAGCCAGTAACCATCACCGGTTGATTTATCTCCTCCTCCAGGTCAGCGAGGTCCTGAATGACCATGGACCCCTCCTCCTGCCCCCCTCAACGCCCCCCATCGTGCCGTCTGCTCCCCCACTGCCCACACCCCCCCGCCTCAGGTCAGAGGTCACCCTGCCACTGAGGAGGAGCAGCAACGAAACGTCGTCAGGTGAGTTCAGTTTCATAACTTGACCGTTGAGCTCCACCAGCAAAAGCCCATGAGGTGAAACGCCTTCAAGCGGGTTACTGAGCCCCTGTGGGTTACAGCTCAGCCTTCACTGCACAGCACAGAGAGAGCTTTCCTGTGTCTCTAACCCTGACCTGGGTGTGTGGACAGACGGTGCAGAGGGAGTTCTACTCTGTTGCCACCCGAGGACCACAGGCTGACACGGTGCCATTAATGGGCATAAAATCGCGTTAGTTTTAGGCGCTCAGAGGCACTGTCCCGTGTGAAGCTCACTGTATAAATGCAAGTCGTCCTTGTTGTTAAAGTGGAAACAGTTTGACATTCAGCCGTGAGCAATGCTGGTGACTGTGTACTGGGCGCTCGCTCGCTCGCTCGCTCGGTGCTGGTTGGTGTGAACATTGCCTCCTTAAGACTTTGCTGTCCTTTCCCGAAGGCAAACCCTCTGCAGCTGAACCCCGCGGCAACACAGAGATTAAACCCGACTGCTGGGAACCACGGCTCGGTCCTGTCGCTCGTCTCCATGGTAACCCGGGGAGGCAAACGCCAGAAAGAGAATGTTCAGATATCAACACCGCGTCCAGCCTGTGTCCAGCCTCAGGGAAATAATAAAATGCAATAAAACTAAACACTCACTGTGTCTGACCAACGCACAGGGAGCAGCTACTGACCCTCAGTAGGGACCTGGGGGAGGAAGAGGTGCTGTGTGGGCAGGACAGTTAGAGATTCACTCTGTCTGTGACCATCACAGTCCCGGCCACAGCTCTCGGTCATTGTTAACTTTTCCAGTGAAGTGAGAGACTCGAGTCAACGTGAAGTTCATAATAAGATCATTTCTTTTACTGGTGAGCATCAGCGTAAAAATAATAAATACCTCTCACCCTCGATCAGAGTAGGTACAGCACTGTTCAGGGCAGCAGCCTGGACCGGGAGCAACAAGTAGTAGACAGTCACAGTTTCACTACGCTCAGTGGGGGAGTCGGTTTCTCTGTGTTCCTCGCTCCCGTGGGCTGGACTCGCAGTCAGTCAGTGGGTATAGAGGGCGGCGTTGAGGAGGCAGCACCGACTCCAGGCAGCTCCTCATCTCCCTCAGCTCCTCAACCATCCGGTCAGCACGGCCACGGTGCACCGTCAGCACCTCCACCGCCTCCTCTATCACACTGAGCGCTTCAGTCACCGCTCGCCTGCAACAGGGAGGAGAGTCAGAGCGGCCGGGAGGAGAGCCAGGGCCTCCGAGAGACCCGTGCTGGCAGAAACTACAAACAGTATCTCCTCTCATCTTACCTTCTCTCGCGCCCTCACCTCTCACACACACACACACACACATACTCCCCTCTTTGCCCCCACCTTTGGAACTCCAACCCACAGTCCCTCTCCCTCACCCCCATCTCTTGCCTCCTTCAAGGCCCGTCTCAAGACCTTCCACTTCGATCGCGCCTTCGACCACCCTCCCACCCCCACCCTCCCTGCCCTTCACCCCACCTGACCCCAACCCCCAGCTTGGGTGCAAAATCCTCGACTGTCCAGCGCCTTGGGACGTCCTCCCGACGTGAAAGGCGCTATGTGACTGTCCTTTGTTGTTGCTGAGGTGGTGGTTACCCATTGAAGAGAATCTGCGACAGCTTGTACAGCTCCTGCCCACACTCCACGCTGGAGGATCCGTATCGGGCCCGGACGGCAGCCAGGCTCCTCTTCAGGTGATCAGCAGCAGCCGCCCAGTTACCTGGGGACAGGGAGGCTAGAGTCAACGCTGAACACGCTTCGCCTGTGGTCATTCCTTTCCTCCTGTGATTCCTTCGGGATTGGGAACCTTTGGGATTGGGAACCAGGTCAGCTTGAGGTTTGGATGAAGGTTGAGCTGCTGTTACCTGTGGTGGCGTGAGCGCGCGCCAGCTGGTCGTGGACCTGCGCCCTCAGCGGGTCCTGGGCTGAGAGCAGCTCCTCAGCTCTCCTCACGCACTCCAACAGACCCCGGGCAGCTTCCTCTGAAACACATGCAGATCAGCTTTGGTGAATTGCTGTTTGCCCGCATTTCTTCCCCCCCCCACCACCCCCATGTTGTGGGGAGCCCAGCGAGCGGGGGCACAGGAAGCTGATGGCCGTACCTGTCCGGTCCTCGTCAATCAACCCGCTGGCTGCACTCAGCTGCTCGGCCAGCTCAGCCCTCCGACTGAGGAGGAGACTCTCGGGGAGGACTTGACCACACTCTGTGTTCGAGCACCTGCTGAGCTCAGGCTCCCAGCTCTACACCGAGACAGAACACAGTTGATACACTACAGTGGATAACACTACAGTTTCGCCCACAAAACATAACAGTCAATTCACTGTGCAAGATATATCCAATGCAAGGATTATTATGATTATTACGGCTTCCACCAACACAGACAGTGAGTAAGAGGACGGAGCACAGAGGGCAAACAGAGGGTCAGAAAGGAGCCTGTCTGGGCAGATGGTCACAATTTGCCTCACAGTCTCTGGGTGTCTCTGATGGTGTCACTCTGTGGGACGTTGATGGTGCTATTGAACTGCTCTCCTCACCTGCAGGGCAGAGCCACAACGAGGGCAGAGAAACTGCCCCAGCTCCGCAGCCCCTCCTCCTCCTCCTCGGGCTGCCTCCTGCTCCCCGCTGCAGGCGCTGCACTCGCACTCGAAGAAATACTGTGCCCTCAACGCACGCTGACGCTCGCTCACTGCCAGCCGACACCAGTGTGGCCCTGCCCAGAGAGAGAGAGAGAGAGAAAGCAAAGCAGCAGCTTAGTGATGGCAGATACCCAGCCAGGTCCTGGGAGGGTAAGGCTACCACCACGCCAGACAGATCCTGTCAGGGTAAAGCTACCAACGAGCCAGGTCCTATCAGAATGCAATTCGTTCCCCCCCCCCCCGCTAGATTCTGACAGAGAAAACAGTGAGGTTTAAAAGTAAGGTGGTCACCATAGCAGTGGAGTATTTCCTGTCCGGCCTGGATTGGCTGCGACGCCCTGATGGTAACTGTCCGGCGGCAGAAGCTGAGGCTGGTGTTGGGCCGACAGGAGTGGTTGAGCAGGCTGAGCGTGCAGTACACGGCCGTGGCTATCCTCACCTGCTCACTGCCCTCCACCTGGGACCTGCCGCTGCCTGCAACAAGCAACAATGATAATAATCCTTGCACTTGATGTAGAGCTTTATCATGTCGCCGAGACGTTTCAAAACGCATCACAGAACAAACTGTGAAAAGGAATTGACTGTATATACTTGTGGGCGAACTACGGCAGACAATTGCACACAGCAGCGTCCGCAAACAGTCGTGTGTGGATTGAGTGACCAAATGATTACTTGCTGACTTGCCTGTGTCTCTGAGCTGTGTGATGGCCTGGGCGTTACACCCCAACTGCAGCATGTGTGTGAGCAGGGCCGTGCCCAGCGCTCCCATCGCCTGCCCTCCGCCATCGCCCGCCTCCAGCCCCTTGCCCACCACGAGGGGCTCCAGCCCCTTCGCTCTGATGCGGGAGCACAGGGCGGCCGCTGTCAGGCCGCATAGGAAACGGTGCTGGGCGGACTGCTGGTGTGTGTGAGCCAGGAGGCTGTGGACAGCCCGGTAAGGAGGGTGGGCTTCCCAGCGCCCCTCAGCCTCTGCTCCGTCACCTGGCTCGGTGGCCCGCGGGGCCTCTGAGGAGCGTGGCCCACTCTGGGCGGCTTGTGTCCTCTGCACCTCCTCCAGCCCTGCGGCTAACACCATGCGGAGAGACAGATGAGCAAAGGCTCCCAGTGCCAGAAGCTCACTGCCCAATGGACACTCCACCTGGTGATGGTCGGCCCAGGCCTTCTGCCTGCAGAGAGCGCTGCAGTACGTGGCATAGCTACAGCTGGGGCAGGGGAGCAGTGCCCAGGCCTGGCTCAGGCAGTGATGGCAATGGGAGTCCTGGGGGCTGGGCTGGGCTCTGGCCAGAAGCACAGCAGCGTAAGCCTCTTCCCTCAGCACGGTCTCTCCTGCCGCAAAGTCCTTTGTGGCCACCAGGTGGCGCCCTCGGACCCCGTCGAAACGCAAGCGGACAGAGCGGGAAGCCCCCGGGAGCGTCTCGTTCTCCAGCAGTGGCCGCTCCTCATCCGCCTGCAGCCGGGCGCTAGGGCCTGGGCTGGGGGTGTCTCCGGGCGGGGCCCAGGGCTGTAACTGTCCCAGGCGCCTCCTCAGCCAGGTCGCGGTCTGCCCGCCCAGCTCGCTCAGCTTGCTCTCAGCCTGGGCCACAGCGGACAGGAATTGTTGGGCGCTGCCCAGGTGCAGCTGGCACTCTGCCCTCCGCACCAGCAGCTTGGGCTCCAGCGCTGGGGGGTACCCGTGTGCCAGCGCACTCTCCACGTCCCCCATGCTGTCCTGCAGAGAGCAAACGGGGCAGGTTAGAACACAGGCATAGACAGCACAGGCTGCTCACAGCACAGAAGGGACCTCAGTTCAGCATCTCATCCAAAAGACGAGACAATGCAGCGTCAGCCTGGGCCTGCGAGCTCAAAGTTTGCAATGTGGGGTTTGGACCCACAACTTTCTAACCCGAGGTGAGTGTGGTCCTGAGTCAGGCTGACACCAGGACCCTGTTGTATCTCTAACTGCCAACTACAGGTGGTAACACTCAGACTCACCCTATAACGCTGTAAGTGGCACAGAGCTGCCGAGCGATTGGCATACAGGATGGCGATCTCGCTGGAGTCTTGGCTCGCGTGGCTGATGCCCTAGAATCACAGAAAACACGCTCAAATGAATCCACCCTCACGCACAAACCCCACACAGGCTTACTGCTCTTCTGGTTCAGTCACCACTGATCCATTCAACACCCACCCCCACCCACCCCACCCCATCCCCAGCAGTCACAGAGCCTGTCACGTGGACATGTGTTAGTGCAGCACCTCACTGTGCCCTTGTGTGATATTCCCTGTGGTATGTGAGAGGCCAGAGTTTATACCCACTCCTCTTCGGGTAGCTCTCAGCTGTCCTGTGGTGTCTGGCCGTGTTACCTTGGTGTATGAACCGGCAGCCCGGGCGTAATCACCAGCTTTGAACTGCTCGTTCCCTCGCTCCTTATAACCCTGTGCCGCCGCGGGGTCCTTCCCAGTCTGTATCTGAGCGACCAGGGCAGTCAGGACAGCCTCGTCCTCTGAGCTGGTCAAGAGGGAAACCCCACCATTAGAGTGCTGACCGCCGTCCTTCAATAATCATTCCAACTGACAAGAGGCGCCTGGTCGCGTCGGCGAGACGCCTCACGCTGCCTCCCCGGATTTACTCCTCGCTGTTGGGTGGGGGTGGGGGTGGGGGGTGGAGGGTGGGGGTGGAGGGACGCTCAGGGGAGCAACAACAAGTGACGTTGACGCAGCGCCTTTCCTGCCGGGAGGACGTCCCGAGGCGCTGGACAGTCGGGGGTTTGGACCCGAGCTGGGAGTTGGGATCAGGAGGGGGTGGGATGGGGGGGCGGGGGGTGGGGGGTGGGGGCTGGGGGGTGGGGGGGGCGATGGTACGGTCGAGACGGGACTTGAAGGAGGCGAGTGGTGGGGGACGGGGGGGGTGGTCGAGGGTCCCGGGGTGGAGTTCCGGGGGGTGGGGGTGGGGGCGGCTGCAGGTGGTGGGGCGGGTGGTCGGTGGGGAGGGGGTGTCACTGGTGTACAGGAGGGCGGGGCTGTGGGGGGGGGGCGGGGCCTGAAGGCCAACACTGTGACCTCTGACCCCAGGTCTCTCACTGCTCCCCCCTTCGGGAGGGCGGGAAACAACGCCGACAACTCACTCCAGCAGCGCCAGGCACGTGGCGTAGCTGAGGCCCGGCTCAGTCAGGGAGCGGAAGCGCCGCCTGTCCGCCTCCCCGAGCCGCCGCCACTTGCCGCCGCTCCTGTCCTGCCAACCCGTCACCGGCACCGGCACCGGCGGCGGCGGCACCACCTCCATCCCCGGCGGCGGCGGCGGCAATGGCGACCGGAAGCCCCCGACCGGAAGCACCCGCCCCTGAAGGTCAGCGGCGTGACCGACAAGAGTCGTCGACCAATCGCGTGCGTTGTGGGCGGGAACGGCTGTCAATCAGGCCGCTGGCCCTTCAGGGGCGTCGCCCCCCCGGGTGGGCGGGACCAATCCCCAGGGGGGCGGGGTCAATCCCCGCGTCACTCGGCCACCGACGCTGCACTGATTCAGAGGAAATTAAAGGGACATTCGCGGAAGATCACAAAATGATAATAATAATAATAACAACAATAATAATCCTCGCATTTGATATAGTGCTTTTCACGTCGGGAGGACGTCCCGAAGCGCTTCACAGAACACACTGTAAAGTGAATTGACTGTATATATTTGTGGGCGAACGCGGCGGCCGATTGCGCACAGCAATAATGTCCCACAACGTGTCGTAGATTGACAATGACCAATTTTATTATTGCTTTTGGTTTTGGAGGGACTATTATTAGGCTCTGTGTGGAGTAAGGAAACTTGCCCGAGGTTTCGCCCTCTGCCTGGAATTGAACTCAGGTCTCTCGCTCGCAAAGCGAGTGCTCTAACCACTGAGCTACAGGACTCAGCACTCATGATGATGATGATGATGATGATCACGGCCTTTGATAATAGCGCCTCATCACGACTTCGAGACGTCTCAGAGCGCTTCGCGTAAAGTGGATTGCCGGTACACTTTGTAAAAAAAAATGTGCAACTAACTTGCGCGCAGCAGCTTCCCATAAAAACAGTCACTTAAGATTGAGACTTAACGCGTTTCGAGCCACGCGCACAGACCAGCAAGGTTGCAGGGCAGATGGGTGCAGGGAGAAGGGGGTAGGGAGAAGGGGGTAGGGAGAAGGGGGTAGGGAGAAGGGGGCAGGGAGAAGGGGGTAGGGCAAGCCTCGCAGTAAGAAACGTCAGTCTCCGCACCAAATGTACATCTTTCGTGCAAATGTTGCACCTTCAAATTTTTTTTATTTTTTTTAATTTCTCATTTTCTTCTCCGAGTTCATCCGTTGAGGATCAATATAATCTACAGAAAGTGAAACATCATTACCAAGCCAAAAAATAATAATAATAATAATAATAATCAGAGCAATTTATCAAACCCTAACCACAGTCCACTGTCTATTCTCTAATCAACTGAGTTACACTCTCAACAATCCACTTGCAGTAGCACAGAGACTGCAGTAGGGTCCTCTCTGTCCCTTCTGATGAAGCCTCACACACCGGAACGGTAACCTGCCTTTCCCTATCGGACGGTCATCGATATCCAACACTGTTGATATCCGGCATTTCGGTTCAGAGTTCCAGCATACCCAGTTTTTTTCCTTTTTCAACTCGTTCTCAGTTTATTTTCCTTTTTTTTTTTTAAAACTCGTTCAAAGGTTTGAAGAGGTCCGTCCGACCCCGAACTCCTTGGTTTTGGTAACGTCTTCCTCAAGGACATGTCGGAGAGGGGGAAGGAGACAGAAAGATGGTCCCAATGTTCGGTGTCTTCCCCCCCTCTCCCCGCAGCTCAGCGATGTAAAAAGGGGCAAACGGACCATGCGGGAGGGAAACACAGTCCGTCCAGGCACCGGTCACCAGCACACGTACAGCAGTGTTTGGACACACAACACAAGAGACAGGACTAGGATACAAAAGCACGCACTGCGACTCCCTTTCATTCCACTGTACAGAACCAGATAAGCATTATGTGTCGCAAGTGACAGCAAGGCTAACTTTTTTTTCTTTCTTTTGTTTGATTTTTTTTCTGGGGGAGAGGAGTGGGGGTGGGGGGGAGGGGGAGGAGTTTGTTGCCGTCAATCCCAGCAGGTTGATGTGGATGAGTCCTCACCCCAGTCTTGGGCTACACGTCTGTGGAGAAGTAGAGGGTGTTTCTCTTGAGTTCGGTGATGGAGATGGGAGGGTGTTGCAGGTAGTACAGGAGCACCTGGACCTGGGGAGCGAACACAAGTGACAGAGGGTCAGTTTTTAAACTGCTCGGTGATAGCCCACTCTCATGCCCACATTCTGTCCTTCGGATGAGACATTAAACTAAGTCCACGTCTGCCTGTTCAGGTGGACGTTAAAGATCCCGCAGCGCTATTTGAAAAGAGAAACGAGTTTCTCTCTCTCCCCCGTTGTCCTGGCCAACAATGCCCCAAATAAAATTGGTCGCTCACTTCTTCTTGGCTGTTTGCGGGACGCTGCTGTGCGCAATTGGCTGCCGTGTTTCGCCCACAAAATAGTCAGTTCGCTTTACGGTGTATTCTGTGAAGCGCTTTGAGACGTCTCGACGGCGTGATAAGGCGCTGCATCAAATGCCAGGATTATTATTATCAACATCATCGGCCACAGGATTCCCCCCGTCAGCGAGCTGTCTGTTGGCCTGCAAGGCATTGAAGTTCCTCAAAAGCGACCACCAGATGGAGCGGTAACTCCACCAGATTTCATTGCTTTAGCCTCTGCAGCAGATGGCTTTTTTTTTGTACTTCACTCAGATCTATGTTCCATTTCAAACATAGTCCACGCTCCTCTCTAACTCAGCACAGGCACAGAGACTGACACCCTCTCTCCAGTGGCTGCAATGGTTTCCATAATCTTTACTCTCTTAAGATCTTGACAAGTGCAAATGAGTTTTTATTCTGGCTTTACCTGGGCTGAGCTGAGCCCCGGGGCTCCTGACACTGGGTTATTCTGGGGCTTCTTTGCCTCCTTCCCCCATCTTCAATTCGCACCTGAAGACCTTCCTCTCCGAGCGTGCCTACGGTTACCTCACCCTCCCCCCGCCACCCCCCCCCAGGCTCGGCATCGTGCTCAGCCACTGTCAATCGCTCTGGGACCCACAAACTAATCGAAGTGTTTGTTATCCACCAGTTCTCCATCCTCCGCTCTTTCCTCTAGATGTTCAGCTGACCTGGTGAGAGGCGCTACATAAATACAAGTTGTTGTTACTCTGGCCCCTCACGACACTGGGTGACGCTGGTTGTACCTGTGCCATGACATCGTGTGACCAGATGTCGGAGACGGAGTTGGTGTGACTCTTGCTCTCGGACTCTGAGGGTCTCAGTAGAGTCGGCCCAAATACGGTGGCCAGGTTGTGTAGCGACATCTTGTTAATGGGCTCCTTCTCAGCCACCCTGTGACACAGACAAACCCACTGTTACAACACATAACGCTCCCCCACCCGACCCCTCCCCATCCTTGAACTCCCCTCCACCCGACCCCTCCACAACCCTTTAATCCCTCCCCACCCCACAGATCCTGTCCAACTTATCCCCCGTGACCACCACCTCCACCCCCCCGCCGGGGTAACTCGGGCCCGACGTGCATTTCTCACCCCACCACTGCCGGCCAAGCCTTCAGTCACTCCGTCCCACCCTCTGTAATTTACCCTTAAATTCTAAACCCCCCCGCCCCCGTCACCAGTTTGTAAATCAGCTGAATTCCCCCCAGTCAGTCTAACTAAATACAAGTCCTTTTTAGAGGCGGGGACAGATACAGACTATGTCCTGCTTTCCTGGCCATGACTCCTCACCCCCCACTCATCCTCAGTGTTGCTATTATGAATGGTTGGTATGATCCCGCACTGACCCCATCCCCATCTCTGCCCCGGGGAGTGAGCACTTACCCTTTCATGTGGTCGAGGAGGGAGAGGAACGTGTTGAGGTTGGGGTCTGGTAGCGAGCGGAGCAAGTGCATCATACAGTTCTCCTTGGCTCCTGGATCGGACAGAGCTGAGAGAGAAGAGAGTAATTAACAACAACGTTTGTCCCAGAGCGCTGGACTGTGGCGGTATCTGACACCGAGCCGGAGGGAGAGGGAGTCGGAGGGGAGAGAGACGCAGCTCGCTCAGCAAACTCCGTAAGGTCTAGGTACAGGTTGGTGAGAACCAAGGCTCTGGGTGTGTGTTGGCTGACGTACTGCTGGGGTTTATGTGTTAAGAGTGCGAGTCACTCACCGATGCCCTCCACGAAGGCTGGGTAGAGACGGTCAGTCAACAGGGGCTCGGGCAGCTCCCGGAAGTAGAGCTTAAGGGTCCCAGCGATGGCGTTGATATCCAGGTCACTCAGCATCACCAGCATGTCCTTGGTGTCTGCAATGGAAGCAACTCACTCATAATAAATAATAACAATAAATCACTCACTCACTGATTCACACAGGACGGCCCTCTGCATCACCCCCCTCACCCCCCACCCCACGCACACTTCATTCAGCCTCAGCCTGTTTGTGGGACACTGACACTGCGCAACTGGCTGCTGAGTTTCGCCCCCGAAATAATAGTCACTACACTTTACAGTATATTCAGTGAAGCGCTTTGAGACGTCGCGACGACGTGATAAGATGCTTTATCAAACGCAAGGATTATTATTATTATAAAGCCCTGCTGTAGCTCCATGCTGTGTGCTCAGTCACTGGCTGCATCTCAGGGTAACCGATGTCCTAACACAGGCTATTGATCATTACATCAGTCACTGGACAGAAACACTCACTCATGTCGAAGGCAGATTTCAGAGCCTGGATGTCGGTGGCCACACCAGAGATCCTGTAGATTCCCACCTCCTCGATCCCTCGCTTCTCCACCTCCTCGATACATTGCCGCACGAGGTACGGCACCTTGGAGCGCTCCCGCCTGGGATAGAGGGAAGATGGTCACGGTCTCGTCACACCATCGTGTGTTGGAGCTGCATCCACAGACTGTACTCAACAGGCAAACATACCAAACACCCACATAGCAAACAGGTAACACACCCAATACCCATGCATAGCAGGTACACCCAGCCACAACCAACACACATACCCACACAGCTGCAATACAATACATAGTCACACGGCCACAATACACACCCAGTCTTAATACACACACACAGCCACAATACACACACACACAGAGCAGGACTCAGGGGCCAGGACTCACTTTGTGACGACGCTGATTTTCACCCCGAAGACACCGGTCTGCTTTTTGGACGGAGTTCGTTTGAGACTTAGGTCTCGGCTGGTGAATTTCATGGACAGCTCCACCTCGATCTGAAACAAAGCGGGTTGTGTGATTTTGGCTCTCGGTGTGTGCGTGTATGTGTGTGCGCGCGCGTGTGTGTGTGCGTGCGTGTCACTATCTCCCCACATTCGGAGCATAAACGTCCAACATCGGCCTGCCTCCCGGCTCAGTCTGGAGAAGGGGGCAATTGGAGGCCAGTAACAGGGCAAACCCCATTGTTACAGTCACGGGCGTATCATACAGATATGGTCTGACACAAGACCCACTACAGCCGTCACCCAAAGTAGTGACGCGTGTCTCACCCAGAGTTACAGGCAGTCAACCAGTCCGTGTTCTCTACATGTGCAGAGAGTAGATTGTGTACAGAGCGGTGAATAGCTTGACCCTGAGCAACTGAACAGGAGTGGGAGGGGTGCGTATGGGAATGCGTGGCACAGGGGAGGGGGCACTGGGCAGTGGGGAGGGGGGGGGTTGCTGTGCAGGGGAAGGGGAAATATTCTCAAGGGCTCCTGTCTGTCTTTCTGTCTTGAGAGTGGCCAATAGAGGAACCTGCACTCACTCACTCACTCACCCCGTTCATTTCAATCACCGCTGTCTGCCAACTCCTTGTCTGTGCCATCTGCGAGTCCAACTGCGAGAGAGAGAGAGGGAGAGGGTTAATTAAACACTCAGTGGACTCAGTAAAACAGCACAGCGACCGTGTTCAGTGCTGAATCCTCCAGGGCAACGCTGGGCAGCTCTCAGTATCACTCGACTATGAGCCCAAGAAGTCAAGCAGCGTTAAACGAGAGCGATCACCCTCCCTGCTCTGCTCTCTGCCAGCTGGGGTTTGTTTGGGTGAAAGTGTTCCAACCCTCTGATGGAAAGGCTGTTTCCACGGAGCCAGTAGTGAAGGGCCTCCTACGTACACAGACTCCAGGAAACAAGCACCCATCATAAATACTTACAGCATCAGCTTAATAAGCGAGAGAGAGAAAGAGCCAGCACACACACACACACACACTCCAGCAGCAGCTGGACCTCAGACTGTTGGGCTGCCAGAGAGGACCAGCCTCTAATTCAGTGCCTGGGCAAGTCTGTTGCCCACACCAACCCGAGGGCAAAGCACCACGCCATGGAGCATAGGTACGGGAGGAGGCCATTCAGCCCCTTGAGCCTGTTCCGCCATTCTGTAAGATCGTGGCTGATATGTACCGCAACTCCAATTACCCGCCGGTGCTATAACGATTTATATTAGATACACAGTCACTACACTTTGCAGAAAAACTCTAGAAAGCACGTTGACGTTATATCAAATGTAACCCGTTCTATTAAGTGGATTTGTTCCCAGTAGGTAAAGGGTTAAGAAGACCGTTCAGGGTATTTAAAGGGACCAAAGGACATGGCTCACACCTGGTGTTGGGTGTCAGACAGAATCCTGTGAGTTAGGAGGGAGTCCACTCCCTGATACCCAACTGTTTGCTCTATTACACAGCTCAGATTTAAAGGGATTGTCAGCCAGGGCAAGCATCCTGCCACTGGCTCTGTTAGCGTCTCGGCAGCATTTTGGTTTGCTATACAGTCAGATATATACACTACAGGAATGCAAATGCCATACAGGAAAATACAGTCAATCCACTTTACAGTGTATCCTGTGAAGCGCTTTGAGACGTCTCGACGATGTGATAAGGCGCTACATCAAATGCAAGGATTATTATTCTTATTGCTGCTGCTGCTTGCAGTATGAGGTGGGGCCACAGAATGGACCTTGGTGATAAATGACAGAGATTAGAACGAGAGAGTAAGCGCGGGTTGTGACCTTTTGTCTGAGCAGTTTGCTCCTCACTCGCCCCCACAGCCTGGCCCCCGTGTTGGCCTGTTTTTTGCTCAGGGGCCGGTCGGATCCCAGCACGCAGCCCCGCTCCAAACCCTCGCACACCGACTGCAGGCTGCCCTCCGACACCACTACCTCAGTCATCCTCGCTCCTCGCTCCAGCAGCTCCCAGCAAACCCCAGCTCTATCTGCTTCAGTGGCTCACGCAGAGAAGTGATAGAGAGAGAGCGAGAGAGAGGAGAAAGAACGTGAAGAGAAAGAGAGAGATGACAAAGAGACAGCGATAGAGAGAGAGAGAGAGAGAGAGTGAAAGGAAGGAGCAAGAGACAGCCAAGAAACGACGAGAGAGAAAGAGACAAGACGTGAAAGTGAGGAGCAAGAGAGAGCGAGGGAGAGGAATAAGAGAAAGAAAGACAGCCAGAAGGAGGCAGCTACTGTGATGCTTCGGGCTCTGGGCAGCCTGTGATCTTCACCTCCTTTCACAGCTTCCCACTCGGAGGCAAAGGTAACCCACACACACACACACACGCACACATCAGCAACAGAAAAACTTCAGAGACTCTCTCTCTCTCTCTCTCTCTCTCTCGCTCTCGTGCCCTCCTGTTGCGCCTTTAGCATTCCACTGCTGGAGAGGCCAGACAGTGCCCAGCACAGGCGGGGGAGTCAGTGATCGAGGGAGTCTCCAGGGAGCTGCTGATCACTGACTGACGTTGTGGGGGGTGGAGAGAGTGGTTGGGGGGTTGGTGGGGTGTGAGGTGGGGGGTGGGGGGGCAGCGATGTGCCCTGCCCTGCTCAGGCGCTGCTGCTTCAGTCTATAATCCTGGCCACTGGGACCTCGCATTTGCCCCCCGGAGCTATACCACAGAGCTGGGAGGGGAGCGCTGTGGTGGCTCAGCCCCCGCCTCGTTCGGCGATCGCCCCTGTGGGAAGTGAGTCAGCCCCAGGTCTGGTGTCAGTTTCCTTAGCACAGTTCCATCAGCTGCCGTTCCCGCTCCCGCTCCATGTCTTCTCCACAAAACATTTTGTTTCCACCTCCTCGGCCACAGGTTTGGCAGAGAACGTCAGAGCAAACAGCTTTCTCCCAGATGTTCCTCGAAGTTCACTCGCTCGCTCTCTTTTGTTCTCTCTCTCTCTCGCTCTCTCTCTCTCGCTCTCTCGCTCCCTTCCTTTGTCTCTCGTCGCTTCACATGCAGTTCACTAAGTTCAGCTACTGTTACTGGAGGCTGCCACTCCGCACTTTCTCTCTCTTTCTCTCTCTCCGCACTGCCGTCTGCAGTCAGTCAGTCAGTCAGTCACAGGGGCTCCCTGTGGGTCGAGCCGGGTGGCCGTCAGCACATTAACCCCTTCAATGACCCCACTGTCCACCATTCAAATTTCCAAGACTGAGGTGGATGGATGTTGGGTCAGGGTACCAAGGGATATGGGGCAAGGGCGGGATCTTATAGAATGGTGGAACAGGCTGGCTCAAGGGGCTGAATGGCCTCCCCCTGTTCCCGTAAACCTCAAGAACATCTGGAATGCCTCCCGTCATTTTCTAAGGAATTTTTTCCTTTGGAAATAATGCGCCAATTTCCTTTAATCTTTGGTAATGAGAGAGTCAGAGGAGAGGTTATTGCTCCCACTAACAATGTTCACAGCTGGGTCTGCATTCCAGACTCCATCCCATTGGAATACAGCAACAACAACAACAAATTACATTTGTAGAGTGGCTTCCACCTCAGGAGGGCATCCCAGAGAGCAAGCTTGTTAAAGGGCTCAGCTGTGGGAAGCTCAATGGGACTGAGCCACTTATATTGTCAAACCAACAGACCCAGACTCAGAGGTCCTTGGTGTTTAATATATGTATATATATATATACACACACACACGCACACACACACACACACATACATGTGCCCCTCCTATCTCTCAGACTTTTCTGCACCCTGACAATCATTCTCCCGCCTGTGGCAGGCGAGCCCTCGGGAGTGAAAGGGTTAAATGTGGACCAATGGGAACCCCAGAGACCTGGAGTCTTGGGAAAGCCAAACCTTTGATCCGGAGATGTTCATATTTAGCAACAAGAACAACAAAGTGTGAGGCGCATCTCAGGTCACAGAGAGAGGGTGGGAGGGGGAGAGAGAGAGAGACCTACACTGGAAACTACTGTGAACTGAAATGAACTGAACTCTCCCCCCTCACCACCCCCCCACAGTGTGAGGAATGTTCTTTTATCAGCAACATCTCCTGAGGAAGGTGGGGGGAGCGGGAGGGGGGGGGGGGGTGCGGGAGGAGGTCAGGACTTCATATTTCTATTTGGGTTCTCACACACAGCAGGTTCCACGCCAGGCACCATCCAGGTGTGGGCTATCGAGAACTCGGGAGAAAAGAATCCCCCTCCCAAGCTACACACACCGCACTCCCACACCGGCCACAGACCGAGCCACGGACTGGCCCCTCACAAAGCTTCCCCGCACCCCCCCACCATCATTGGATGGTCACCAAGGGACAGTGATAACCAGAGAACGCTCCTGATCAGCTCCCCCATTAACTGCAACAGAATCCGTGTGTCTTTGTGACACTGAACAGGAACAGGAAGCCAATGTACAGGTGATAGCCTGGACAACACACAGCGCGTACTGAGCGACAATGGACTGCGTGTACCCAGTGTGTATCGAGTGCTCGCCTGGCTCGTGTACACACACACACACGCACACACACACACACACACACACAGCCCTCATTGCATTCACACCCAGAAGACTGTCACGAGTTGGTCATTTGAAATCCCACAGTTTGAGCCCACACGAGGTGGATTGCAACTACCCGGAACTCATGTGTTTTGAGTTGGATATTTGGGGCCTCTGATCTTCAAGGGGTTAATAAATCCCACAAAGCCTTGTCCCTGTGAGTGCAGAGGGACCGGCCCCACAAATAAACAACGACTGAAATAGATTGGGGTCACGGCCCCGACTTCTCACAGCCCAGTGCCGGCCGATAGAGAAACGCAGAGCTTTCTCACGCTGTCCCAATCCATCCCTGACGTCAGAGAGAGATAGAGAGAGAGAGAGAGAGATAGAGAGAGAGAGACACACTCACTCACGCAGACACACACATATATATCTGACAATAACTGCCACAGCCATGAGAAACGTGAGGCACCGCGATGCCCACCCCCCCCCCACTCCCCCTGAACCAAACCAAACTGCATGGAGACACCAGAGCCAGCACAACAACAACAATGACATTTACACAGTCCTTTTCACGTCAGGAGGATGTCCCAGGGCGCTGGACAGTCAAGAGTTTGCACCCAAACTGGGGGTTGGGATCAGGAGGAATGGAGGGTAGGGAGGGTGGGGGTACGAGGGTGACCGAAGGCGCGGTCGAAGACAAAGATCTTGAGAAGAGCTTTGTTGGAGACGAGAGAGGGTTGGAGTGAGGCGAAGGGATTGTGGGATGGAGTTCCAAAGGGTGGGGGCAGAGAGGCTGACGGCCCGACCGCTGATGGTGGGACAGGCCAGGCGGGGAAAGGTGGAGCAGGCAGGAGCCCGCTGAGGAGGGAGCGGACAGGTCTGTATGTGTTAGCGGGTCACAGCGGCAGGAGAGAAGCAAGGCCCTGTAGGGCTTTGAAAGTGACAAGGAGAAGGATTTTATCCTTCTATCCTCTGGGGGATGGGAAGCCAGTGGAGCCGAGTGAGGAGGAGAATAATAATAATCCTTGCATTTGATACAACGCCTTATCATGTCTTCGAGACGTCTCAAAGCACTTCACAGAATATACTGTAAAATGAAATGACTGCGTATTTTGTGGGAAAAAGGCAGCAGCCAATTGCACAGGATGGGGGTGATAGGGTCAAGGAGAGGTAATGTCCCACAACCAGACCTATCTCTGCCCCGATCAGAATCTGCACCGATCTCTCCCAAGCCCATCTCAGACAGTTACTTGATGCTGACGATCAGATTAAAGGACAACCACTTTGTACAGCGCTGGGTACAGCCCAGACTGGTAATGTCAACTCAACCTCGCTGACCCCACATAGCAGAGGGAGAAAGAGAAAGAGAGAGCGAGCGAAAGCTGCCTGTTTGAGAGACATTGCCATTTAAGGGCATTATTTTATGTCTTCTACACTTTTTACTCATTGGAGAGAACTCAGGCCGGGCCAGTGCTTCAGGGAGACAACGAAAACACCAGCTGCTCTCAGCACAGGCTCAGGGGAAAAACTGCCCCCTGGAGTGGGGGGGGGTTCTCGAGATTGCGGAGAAAAGCAAGTGAGACTCCTCTTCCCTCAACCCCCAGCAGGACCCGGAGAGCAGCGGGTACTGTGTGTGGAACTGTCCCTTAGTAAGAGGATTTGTCATTAGGAGGGGGGGAGGTTAACAGAGAGAGGAGCAGATGCTGTGTTGTGTGTGTCTGACAGAGACTATGTGTGGGTGTGTGTGAGAGTGTGTGTGTATGAGACTGTATGAGTGTGTATGAGAGTGTGTGAGAGTGAGCGAGTAAGTGTGTGTGGGAGAGGTTCCTACCTGCACCTGTCCTTTGCCCATGATCTTGTCCACGATCTCGTTGTCGTCCTTGTTCAGTTTACTCTTGTCGTACGACTTCTCGTAGCAGAGGATGCGCAGTGACTGGGAGCCCTCGAGCTCGATCTCAAACTCCTGCAGCGGAGACAAGGCTGAGCATCAACTCCAACCGGGAACAGGCGGCACATCCCACACGCACACATAGCTTCCTTGACAGCTAAAGTCACATCCTCCTGCTACAGGCTAACCCGGGGTGGGGGGGGGGGGGAAGAGAAACAGGCTGCACATTCTCCATTACAGATTACATCAACAGCTACAGTCATCACTCATCACACCCCAGCTACAGGCTAACTTGACAGCTAGTCATCACACACACACCCCAGGCTACAGGCTAACTTGACAGCTACAGTTGTCACAAAAAACCCACAGAAACGTTAAGCTCCCAGCAGATGTCGACGGCAGTTCAAAGGGTTCAACTGAGAAGATACTGTCGTTGCCATCCAACGAGAGAAAGGCTCCCGACAATCACTGACCTCGTTCCAGTGGGGCTCATTTGTGTCCCTGAAAACCCGGGTCTTTGCTTTGCTGACAAAGTAGCCAAAGGAATCCACTTCCAATGTGCAATACAGACCTAGAGAGTGAGGGGAACAGAATGCGTGAGCGAGGGAGAGAGAGAGTGTGAGACAGAGAGAGAGACGATAACTTGCTCTTACACAGCGCCCTCACCCAGGGTAGTGCCTTGGGAGGGCTCGACAGTGGCGGAGCACAATGCCAAGTCTGGGGAGGGAGGGAGGGAGGGGGGGAGGTGACACCTGTCCAAGAGGAAGATCTTCGGACGTGATCTGAAAACGGGGAAGGAGAGGGACATAGGAACAGGCGTTGGAGAGTTCGCCTTGTGTGGTTTTCTGGGTGGTTCAGGATGTGATAACAACCCTCACATTTGATATAGCGCCTTATCACGTCTTCGAGACGTCTCAAAGCGCTTCAGAGGAGACCGTTAAAGTGAATTGACTGTATATTTTGTGGTCATCTCCTCTGTCAGCACCAGTACACTCTGACACTGAGCGTGACTCACACACAGGCTGGGCGGGCTGGGTCCTGCTCTCTCTCTCTCTCTCCAAAAATACATCAGGTGGGTCCCAGGCTGGGAACAGACGTCAAGAGAGACGTTCCCACGGTTATTCCAAGGCCAGCGTATTCACCCTCTTCTTCTCCCCTCCCAACCCCTTACTGTGTGTGAGTGTGTGTGTGTGTATGGGGGGGTGGGGGGAGAAGAGGGGACAATCACAGACACCACAGCAAGATCCAGACACTGCCTGACTTCCTGGGACCATGGTTGGATCCATTCATATTTTCAAGACTGAGGTAGAGGGATTGTTATTACGTCAGGATATCAAGGGATATGGGGCAAAGGCAGGTAATTGGAGTTGAGGTCCAGATCAGCCATGATCTGATAGAATGGCAGAAAGACGGAAAACGCGAGGCAGTGAAAGGATCAGTTCAGGAGAGCTGAGATCCCGAACGCAGTAACTGAGCATAACACGTGATTCTTTCCTCACCCTCACTCTCCCCTCCCCACAGCCGGCTGATGGCATTTGATTGTTGGGGGGGTAGGGGAGGGGGGGGTCTGGCGGGGTCTACGTCGGGGGAAGAGAGGAGGGGGGAACGTGCGGTACTCACTGGCCGAGTTCTCGAATCCTTTTGCCGACCGGACAATGACGTGGAGAAAGCCGTACAGCCCAGGAGACTCATCGTCTGTCACAACAAACACATTAATCGCTCGTTATTAAACTGCTTCTGTCCCTGTGCGAACGACAAAACATCATCGGTCACCCTCCTACCTCCGCCCCTCTCTGATCCCAAACCCCCCCCCCAGCTCAGGTGCGACACCCTCAGTTGTCCAGCGCCTTGGGACGTCCTCCCGACGTGAAAAGGCTCTGTGTAAAATGCAATTTGTTGTTGTTGTTGTTGTTGTTGTTGTGGTGGTGCCTCTCTCAGCTCAACCAACAGCCCCACCTTGTGGCGGTGACGAGCACTGCCTCAGTGGGGAACCCTCGCTGAGCTCCAGCCGACACCAGCCCCGACTGTGAAAGGTCAGCGTTCACACACAGGGGCTCAGTCACATCTCCCAGGAGTGAGGCCGAGGAACAGTGAGCATCTCTCCGGCTCCGGTGCCCGGCGCAGTGCAGATCAGGCCGCCTGTGACCTGCTCGTCCACACAGCGACAGACAGAAACAGGGAGGGAGGGAGGGAGGGAGCGAGGGAGGCTGATGTCAGACACTTACCCTCCTTGTTGCTGGTGACTGGGATGTTGTGGATTGTTCGGAGTTTCACACACGAGCCCGTCAACATCTGCAGCTCCAGAGAGCTCAGCACAAAGCCCTGCAGCTCTGCACATAGAGAGCGAGAGGCCGAGAGATCGAGCGATCAGCAAACACGCCACCCGAGATTAACCTGCTTCACACACGCCCCACGTACACGCTCCCCACATCCTTCATCATCCCCCCCCACACACTCCAACACACTCACACGGGCTCCGACATGTCCCACACTTGCCCCAACAAGCTCTGACACACCCCGACATGCTGAGACACGCTCTAACACACCCCACACACACTCCCTACTCACTCCAACACGCCCCAACATGCTCCGAGACGCCGTCTTTCTCTGAACTCACCCTTTTTCTGCAGTTTCTCGATGGCCTCTCTCCACTCACATCGTTCGTAATCAGAGGACAACAGGAACTGGTAACCCTGTGTGCGAGAGAGAGAGAGCGAGAGAGAATGTTACCATCACCTCACTCCCCAACACCTGAACCTCACTAAAATATGGGACAAATGTGCTGCCTTGTGCTTTTGTCCTGGGGCAGAGTGCAGTGCCAGGCTGGTGCCCGGGGCTGGCAGGCAGGGCAGGGTGGAGTGCCAGGTGCGGGCGGGACGCTCTCACCTTGCCGTTCTTGTTGTGGATGCGGAAGGGGATTGTGGGCGAGTGCAGCAGGAGCCAGGACTCGTTCTCGTACATCTTCTTCTTTAATCGCTCCATCGCCCGGCTCTGGCCCTTTGACGATTTCTGGGAGGAATCAGAGAGCAGATCAGCGCGGCCCAACAACAACAACAACAGCAACTTGCAGCTACATAATAGTAATATTCCTGGCATTTGATATAACGTGTTATCACGTCGTTGAGATGTCTCAAAGCGCTTCACAGAATATATTGTAAAATGGAGTGACTATGTATTTTGTGGGTGAAACGCAGCAGCCAATTGCTCACAGCAGCGTCCCCACAAACCGTTGTGGATTGAGTGACCAATTTTTTCCAAATTATTATTAGGATTATTACCCGTGGAAAAGCGATCCACCAATCGACTAACAACCGGGTTTCCTACTTACCGCTCGGTAAACAGAGGCGTGTGGTGTGGAGTAAGTAAACTTGCCTAAGGTTTGGCCCTGCCTGGGAATCGAACCCAAGTCCGTTGGCTTGCAAGCGCTCTAACCACTGAGCTACAGGGCTCCAGGGAAGTTGTAGCATGGGGTTTGAATCCACGACCTTGTGAGTGAGAGCAGGAGTGACTGGGCCAGGCTGGGAGTGTAGAATTGGAGACACCTCCACCCCCTCACTCTCTCCCTCTCTCACACTCTCTCTTGCTGACGACGGCAGACAGTACCTTCTCTCTCTGCATCTCGTTTTTGATGTGCGAGATCTTCATCTTGACCTCCTCCAGCTCGTGGTCGGGGAAGGTGTGTACCTGGGGGCTGTGCTCTGACTCCTCGGCTGACAGGATGACCAGGTCTGACAGGGGGATGTACCACTTACAGTCATACTGCTGCTGGTGCTTCCTGACGGGAGAACACAGGGTCAGGGTTAGTGTCAGCATCACCCCACCCCCATTACCAGCTGCCCAACCCACCCCCACCCACCAGCTGCACACCCCACCCCCACCCACCCCACCCACCAGCTGCCCAACCCACCCCCACCCACCAGCTGCACACCCCACCCACCAGCTGTCCAACCCACCCCCACCCACCTCACCCACCAGCTGCCCACTCCACCCACCAGCTGCCAAACCCACCCCCAACACCAGCTGCACAACCCACCCCCATTACCAGCTGCCCACCCCCAACACCAGCTGCCCACCCCCAACACCAGCTGCCCACCCCACCCCACCCCCACTCACCAGCTGCCCACCCCACCCCCATTACCAGCTGCCCACCCCACCCCCAACACCAGCTGCCCACCTCACCCCCACTTACCAGCTGCCCACCCTACCCACCAGCTGCCCACCCCACCCCCAACACCAGCTGCCCACCTCACCCCCACTTACCAGCTGCCCACCCCACCCACCAGCTGCCCAAACCACCCCCAACACCAGCAGCCCACCCCACCCACCAGCTGCCCAACCCACCCCCAACACCAGCAGCCCACCCCACCCACCAGCTGCCCACCCCACCCCCAACACCAGCTGCCCACCCCACCAGCTGCCCACCCTACCCACCAGCTGCCCAACCCACCCCACCCACCAGCTGCCCAAGCCCCCGCCAACACCAGCTGCCCACCCCACCCACCGGCTGCCCAACCCATCCCCAACACCAGCTGCCCACCCCACCCTAATCAGCCCCACACCAGGGGGAGCCAGAGAGAGACCTCCCCCCCCACCCCACTCCGGCCAACACCTACCCCACAGCTTGTTTTTTCAGTTTGGCGCACAGCAGGAGGTCAGTGAACAGGAAGACATGTCGCAACTTCCTGGTTCCCTCAGAGATTTCAACCAGAAACCCATCCTTCAGCAGCTGCCGGTTCTGAAAGTTTAAACATCCCAAACATGTCCGAGTCACACAGCGGGAGAGTCAGTGATATCAAGGGCAAGCTACGTGGGTTTAGCTGACTCCAGCAGTTATCCCCAACGCACTCTCTGGGATCCCCCACCCCAAGCCTTGGCTCTTGCCAACCTGCGCCTAATACTTTCCGGAATTAGGTAAGCAGGGGCCGTCCCTCCAGGGAGAGAGAGAGAGAGAGACAGTGCGAGTTCTATCCCAACAATCTATCTCTGGGATTTCCATGTGTAGGTGGGATGGATGCATGGAATTCTCAGCTTAGTTTGGAGACTCTTAAGCAACGGTGATGGGTTCTCGCCTGTGTCAGACACCCGGGGGGAAAAAAAAAGCCCCCCCTCCCCCAAATTCTCAGCTGGGTTTGGAGACTCTTAAGCAACGGTGATAGGTTCTCGCCTGTGTCAGACACCCGGGGGGAAAAAAAAAGCCCCCCCTCCCCCAAATTCTCTCTCCCCTCATAGCTCCTCTCTTTCTCTCTTCCCTCGCAACGTGTCTCTCTCTCTCCGCTCATAGCTTCTCTCTCTCTCTCCACCCGCACAGCGTCACTCTCATTCCCACAGCGTCACTCTCTCTCTCTCCCCCACTCAGAAGCTGACCTCTCCCTTTGCCAGAGTGACGGGAGTCCTCCTGCTAGAGATTTCCTCATTGATGCTGGAGAGGAAGTTCTGGGAGATACGCAGAGCGTCCTGGAGCAGAGGGTAGTCCGGGTGGTCTGTGGGCGTGTGTTTGAGCAGGTCCTGAGGAGACAAAATGTTCAGTTATTACCTCGGCCACATCAGTGTGTAAATACCGTGCTCGCACAGACCAGGAGGGAGCCTGGCCCACACACTGACACTGAGGAGCGAAGTCATTAGTACTTACATGTAGCACTAGAGTGCTCCGTGTGACTCGATCAATGGGCTTGTAGAGGAGCGCTGTAAAACAAAGAGAGGATCACAGCAGGTCAGTCACACCACACAGCACCTCGTCCCGTTCCGCCACACACACAAAACCTACCGCACACACACACACAACCAGCTCCACACACACAAACATGAAACCAGCCACACACGCACACACAACCAGCTCCACACACACACACAACCAGCCCCACACACACAAACATGAAACCAGCCACACACGCACACACAACCAGCTACACACACACACACAACCAGCCCCACACACACAAACATGAAACCAGCCACACACGCACACACAACCAGCTCCACACACACAAACATGAAACCAGCCACACACACACACACACAACCAGCTACACACACACGCACAACCAGCCCCCTCCACACACAGAACCAGCCACACATACAACCAGCCACACACACACACAACGAGCTGCGCCCCCACCAGCCCACACACACACACACACCCCACCACCACCACAATAATAATAAAAAACCTTGCATTTGATAAAGGAGGGATATTTAATAGGATATGTAGGTGCGAAGCAAGGCTGGGGGGAACGGTGAGAGGGAATGTGGTTGGGGGGGGAAGGGGAACAGAGGGATGGTCTGTACGGGGGGAGGGGGGAGAGAAATGTTGTTTCAAGATTCCTGAGATGTCCTCTCCGTGTGTATGATTTGCCCCCGTCTACCAGCTTCTTTTGTTGTTAAAATAAACCCGGGGCCTTTAGCAAGTTCTCAGGTTTTGCTTGGGGCAAGGTGAGGCACGGAGTCGGGGGAGGGGTGGGGGTGACAAAGAACAGAACGTGACACAGCTCTCACAAAAGGAAAGGAAATGGCCAGAATTATTGCCGTTAAAGCTCGGGGCGTGCCGAGCTGAGCCGAACGACGGACTGTGCCACGAAGCAGCCGAGAGACTGACATAAAGGAGAGTCTGCTATTGTGCTGCCCATCACTGCTGAGAGGCTTCGGGAGCTGAGCGGAGCTTCACGGCGAGGGACTGAATGAGAATGAGCTTGAGTACACGCAGAATACACACACACACACACGGACACTCATGGACACTCGCGACAAAGAGACAAAGCACACACACACACACACAGCGACGAGACTGTTACCGTAACAAGTACAATTGCAGCAGAGTCTGAAGATCAGCAGAATTTCCATCTTATCCCACCCCGCGCTCCCACAGTCATGTCTCTATTCCTCTGCCTTTATCCCAGTCGGTCGGTCCTGGCTGATATGATCAGAGGCGAGGAGGAGCCCGCTCCACACACACACACACGCGCGCACGCATGCGCGCTGACAAGACACACTCACACACACACTGACTCCACTGGGGGAGGTGCTTGAGCAGCATGCTATCTATCCACTTGTAAATTAATCCGAGTGTGAGAGGCTGGAGCTAAACATTTTTGAGGCAGTGAAGGAGAAGCCGGGATGGGAGAGGCTCCAGGAAACCTACCTTCCAGAGTGATGGAGGTGGAACATTCCTTGACGTCCTTCGGGCATCTGACTTTCAAATCCTTTGAAGAAATGATGGAGGAGAGAGAGAGAGAGAGAGAGAGAGAGACACTCAGTCAGAAAACACAGTGAACACAGAGAAAGAATGGTGTTAGTGCTAATGCTTCACACTTCTGAGAACTGGAGGAGAGAGAAGAAAGAGGAGAGGGGTAGATTTAGATTTAAATTTAAAGAAAGCACCTTTCATGTCAGTGTCAAAGCGTTCAACCAGAGAGCTTCACACCTCCCAACCCGCGCTCTCGTTCAGCAATCACCCCCCCCCACCGCCCCCAATAACTGCCGCCCATTTCCGCTCACCTCCGAGATTTTCTTGAAGTTGATGTTCACCTGACTGCACTTCTCCGCCATCTCCATGGCCATTTTGTAGTTGTCTACAAATGCTTTGTATACACCAAGCTCCCCAGCCTGAGGGAACAATCACAAAGGTCTGAGCATCAGAGAGAGAGCAAGAGAGAGAACAAGAGAAAGGAGAGAGAGAGAGAGGGAGAGGGAGAGAGGAAAGAAGAGAGATGAACGAGAGACAATGAGAGAGAGGAGAGAGAAAGATGATTGAGAATTGGAGAAAGAAGAACGAGGGGAGGGATAGATTGAAATCCGCACCGCGCCTTTCACGTCAGGAGAACGTCTCAACGCTTCCAACATTGGGAGTTGGGGAGGGTGGGGGGTCGAGGGATGACCGAAAGCGCTGTCAAAGAGGTCCGTTTTGGGACGGACCTTGAACGAACGGAGGGAAGGAGACTCCAGGATGGAGACTGTGGGATGGCGTTCCAAAGGGTGGGGGCAGAGAGGCTGAGGACGCCAGTGGTCCCGGAGTTGAGTTGAGAGGCACGGAGAGTTGGAGAAATTGAGAGAGATTTGAAAACCCAAACAAGAATCTTCAAATTGATCCTCTGAGATACTGGGAGCTTGCCAAGGAAAAATAATTACAATCCTCACATTTTAATATACATAGCGCCTCATTATATTGTCAAAACATCTCAAGGGGTGGGGGGGAGTGGGGAGAGAGCGAGTGAGGACCAGAGCACAAGCTAATGCGTGTGAAATTGAGTGAGCGTGAGAAAGGAGAGAAAACACACCACCCACCCAAGACAGGGAGGAACAAAGAGAACGTGAGAGAGAGAGAGACAGACACACACGCAGACATGCACACAGGCTGGTTAAGATAGGGGAGCAGAAAGACAGGAAGTGCAAAAGGCAGAGCTTTAGAGAGAGAGAGACGGGAAGACAAGAAAGAGACAGACAATCAGAGAGCGAGGATGAGAGAGAGAGAGAGAGAGAGAGAGAGAGACACAGAGACAGGAACAAAGAGTTAGAAACATTCATTCTTTGCTCTGCTCTGCCCTGATCCACCGCGTTTGTATTAACAGTCTGAAGCCAGCGGGCCTCAGCGCCTATCTTTATTAAAGAGTCACGTGAAGCGTTGCGGAAAGTGATGGAGAATATGATTAGTGATGTATCTGTGACCTCTGCAGAGAGAGAGAGAGCGAGCGCCATTCCTGCTGCAGTAACAGGAACAGGTACTGTGGGGCGTGCGAGAGGAATACTGATGGTCTCAGAGCTGATGGTAACGAGAGAGAGAGACACTGGGTAAAAGGCTCCCAAATAGAGGGGCTCTAGTGAGCTTGTGAGCAGACAAGCATCTCCTTCACTTTCCAGACTGACACAGTGCTGCATGCATTCATCAGCCCCTCCCCTCCCCTCGGAATCAGCCCAGTCACCAAGGGGTTAATAATCGCACAGATCAAGCAGCTGTCTGCTCTATCCTGGGTGGGGGGGGGGGGGGAGATAATGGGAGGTGGGGTGGGGGGGAGAGAAGGGGAGAGAATAGATAAATGTAACTGTGTGGTGCTGTTTCCTGATATGGGCGAGCGAGTGTGAAATCAGACAAGCAGGAGATCTCTGTAACAGAGGCTTGGGGGGCGGGGGGGGCGGGCGGGCGGGGGGGGGTCTCTGTATTGTCACTGTGCTCAGGTCTGTGTTATCAGCACAGTCCAGCTCTGCCTCCACAGCCTTGTAGCCAGATTCTGATTAGAAAACAAATCTTTCCCCAGGGCACAAATTCAATCTGATTGTGTGGGTTGCATATCACTCACACTGCTGTCCTCTGCTCTGCCAATCTCCCCACCTCCTCCCCCCACTCTCAGCGACCACCAGCTCAGTCCTTCAGAGAATAACACCGAGTGATCACACAGTGAAGAGAGAGCGAGAGAGAAAGAAACGAGACAAAGAAAGAGACCAGAGAGAGAGCGAGGGAGGTGGGGGGTGTGGGGGGCATAGAGACAGGGAGAGAAACAGAGAGATACAGAAAGAGACAAAGAAAGACGAGAGAGAGAGAGGAGATGGGCTGATTGGTTCTAAGAGCGTCAAGACATACAAAACTTAGTGTACAGGGTGTTCACAAAGTCCTGTCGCAGCATGTTTTTTTGCTTTACAGTTCACTGCCAACTGAAACAGCACAAGCGTGTGTTTGTGTGTGTGTGAGCGCTATCATCTTCATGGCAGATAATGATCCATGTTCAGTGCCACATTATCCATAACATGGATGGAGCGAGGAGGGGAAATGCATCTCTGACAACTAGTATCCGCTCCTCTGTAATCTCATGTCGCAGTTTGGTAGCCGGTGGTGATGGGGGGGGGGGGGGGTGGGAGGGGAGTAACAGGACTTTGTGGACCCCCTGTAGGTAAGAGTGCTAACAGCCACGTAATGAAGAACGCTAAATCCAGCAAACAATTATTTTTAACACTGAACTGTTCTAACTTTCATCAGGTAATAATATACTAATAATAATACAATCATCCTTAAACACACAGCTATCCTGTGAGCGAGGTTAGGTGATGTCCTCGCAAAGTCACATCCGGCTCCTGTCGATGTGGAAATACTTTGTGATGAGCTGTGCTTGTGGGTCAGTGTTAAACAGAACCTGTGGTCAGCCCAGAGGCTGCACATCCTGTGCTTTCACACCTCAACATGGCTTTCCTCTCCGCCCTCCCCCCACCCCGTCGCCACAAAGGGCTTCCTTTGTGGCTCTCTCCCCTCCCCCACGTCGCTCACACTCAGCTCCTCACCCAACAACCCCAGACAACCCACACGTGTGACATGAGGGACGATGGCTACCACTTGCCCCTTTCAGGGTTTTACTTCAGCTCCTCACCTCAATTACGCCTCCTGCTGGTAACTCAGAGCAGGGCAGGAGCAAGAGTGGACCAACTGTGGGTCAAGCCAGACCCTATCTCAGCCCCAGCCAAGCCCCATCCCCAGGCTCCAACCCAGCCACAACCCCCCAGCTCCCAGCCTCCAGGTCCAAGCCCCCGGCCCAACCCGGCCCCCGGCTCCAGCCTTGTGGCAATGAGGTGCTGAGGTATGTACAGGGCGACCTTTTTTGGAGATAATAGGGTAGATACCCCCCTGGAGACGTGAGACCCGCTGTCTCTCGTGGCAGAGCTCTGTGTGTGTGTGTGCGTGTGTGTGTGTGTGTGAGTGTGTGTGTGTGTGCGTGTGTAACAGGAGCCTGAACTGGCTGCCCAGCGAGGATCTTACCAGCTTCTGGAAGAGTTGTCCCACCGAGTCTCTGTGGTCCCAGTGCTGAACTTTGGGACTGAGGCAGTCGTAGAATTGTTTGTGGACGTCGTGAATCTCCTGCACTTTGTAGAAGATGGTCTCGATCTGCTGGTTGGTCAGGACGGGCTGAGAGGTGGTGGCAGCCGCCTTGAGAGGCTTCAGGGGCTGGAAGAGAAGGTTCCGTAAACGTTTGGTTACAAATCATATCAACCCTTTCTTTTTACACACACTACACACACAGTCATACACACACACACTACACACACACACCACACACACAGTTATACACACCCACTTATAAACACACTACACAGTTATATACACATTACACAAAGTTATATACACACTACACACATAGTTATATGCACACATGGTTTTATACACACACTACACACACAGTTATACACACAGTACACACACAGTTATACACACACTACACACACAGTTATACACACACTACACACACAGTTATACACACACTACACACACAGTTATACACACACTACACACACAGTTATAGAACAACAATATTACATTTGTATAGCGCCTTTCACGTCAGGAGGTCGTCCCAAGGCGCTGGATAGTATACAGCATTTCATATGCCCACACACAGTTATGTACACACCGCACACACAGTTATATACACACACACATCAGATGAAGAAACACTGTTATAGAGAGACAAACACACAGTTACAACAGTCACAGAGAGGCAGATGCCGATCGCACACGGTTAAATAGGTTTTACACAGTAAGAGACACACGCTAAGTTACATTTACACACACATACACACACGCACACAGTTACAGAGACACCAACAGTTACACACACAGAGTTACAGGGAGCAGTGACTGACGTACCACCAGTAGGGCCTCCAGTTGGTTGATGTAAATCTCCTCGCTGGCCAGGACTCCCGACAGCACCAGTTTCCTCATCTCCAGCCCCTTCTCCAGCTCCACATCGCTCTACACACAGGGGCAGCCAGGTCAGAGCATAGCCTCAACCCAGCCCTCTCCTCCCCGTGTAACCCAGCGTCCAAATCTCTTCATCCACCCCGAGATTAGACACCCCCATATTCCCATCGCACCAGTGAATGGCTTTCTCCCAGCCCCAGCCGTCACCCTTCAATGAGTGTCAAAGTATCGCGAAGACATGATAAGGCGCTATATCAAATGCAAGCATTATTATTATTTTTATATTCAGTGTTATTTGCAGTGTAACATTCAACCTTCGCGTTTAACAGCTCTCCAGATTGCACACAGTTAGATCGGTTTACACAACAACAACAATTTGCATTTAGCAGGTTAGCGTCCCAGAGCGCTTGACAGGGGCAGAGCACAATGCAGAGCCGGGTGGAGGGAGGGGGTGACCATAGGCACGGTCCAAGGGAAGGTTTTCAGACGCGATCTGAAGATTGAGAAGGAATGGGCAAGGCGGAGGCAGGGACAGTGGGATAGATAGTGTTCCAGAGTTACAGGCAGAGGTTATATACACACACTACACACACAGTTATATGCATTAGAGAGACACACTAAGTTAGTTCTTACCCGTGATGTTCACGGTGATATCTGAGCGGCTACGTTTGTCTACAGAACAACAATCGCTTTATTTCTGATCAATCCCATTCTGTACAGAGATTACAGTCATTGCGTTAAATGAAAGGCACTGGTTACATATCAATTCGTTGGTGCCTGAACCACACAGTTTAGTGCCTCTTCTGACTGATGCAAAGCACCTCTGACAATGCAGCACTCACTCAATGCTGTGGCAGAGGGTCAGCCTACATGGGGTCCCCAAGACTGACTGCCACCCCCCCTCCCGCTAGACCCCAATTGGGGCTCTGCAAGTATTGGGGATAGTCACTTTATTGGAGCAGGACTGAACCCACAGTGCAAAACAGAGAGAGAATGATCCAGGCAAGATTAGAGAGCGAGACACACACAGTCAGGACTCTCTTCATATCCACAATGGCCTCGGGCCCAATTGGTGTGAATATCAAGCTCTTTTTTGTAAGACGAGATGCATAGAGCTGTCCAGGGACCTGAGAATATGCTGTATAGCCCAGCACATCCCAGCCCTACACAGCCCAGCGAGCACACAATCCAATAGGTGGCAGTGCTGGGTTTGGCCCAGTGCCCTCTGTACCACTGCCTTCCTCAGGAGTGAGTTCCTGTTGAGCTCACCAGCTAAACACACAACATGACTCAAATGTGTCTCGATACAGGAGCTGCAATCAATGACATCAGCTTCTTCCAACCTCAACAGCAAGTCCCCACACCTACGCCCACCCACGGAACACACTGCAACACCCAGCAGCAGGTCACAGAGGTAGGGAGCTGGTCCGATTGAGCAGGTACGACGACAACAATTTGTATCTATGTAGCATCTTTCACGTCGGAGGAACATCCCAAGGCGCTGGATAGTTGAGGGCTTGCACCCGAGATGGGGATTGGATTCAGGAAGGGAGGGGGCCAAGGGGGTGGGGTTGGGAAAATGACCAAAGCTACTGTCAAAGAGAAAAGTCTGGAGGTGGGCCTTGAGGGAGCAAGGGAAGGGGTGAGGTGAAGTGACTTCGGGATGGAGCTCCAGAAGGCGGTGGCAGAAAAGCTGAAGGCCTGACCACTGATGGAGGAGAGGGCAGGGCAGGGGACATGGAGCAGGCAGTGCTGCTGGGCAGAGGGAGAGGGCAGGTTGCTAGGGTTTAAGAAGTTTGCATAAGTAAGGTGGGGCAAGACCACCAAAAGCGAGGACGAGGATCTTAAACTTAATCCTCTGGGGGATATGGAGCCAGGTGAGGATGAGGGTTGCAGGGAGCTGTGATGGTGAGCTGAGAGCTGGGATTTCTGTACAGGTTAGAGTGGTTAGAGCACTCGCCTCGCAAGTGAGAGGACCTAGGTTCGATTCTCGGGCAGGGCGAAAGGTTAGGTAAGTTTCCTTACTCCACACGCCTCTGTTTACCCAGCAGTAAGTAGGAACACGCCTGTTAGTTGATTGATGGATCGCTTTTCCAGGGGTAATAACCCCTTCAAAAAGGAAAAAATAATTTGGTCACTCAATCCACGACTGTGTGTGGGTCATTACGGTGAGCATTTGGCTGACGCTCTTCACCCACAAAACATACAGTAAATTCACTTCACAGTATATTCTGTGAAGCGCTTTGAGACGTCTCGAAGGCGTGATGCTTGCCCAACATTTCGTCCTGCCCGGGAATCGAACCCAGGTCTCGTGCTCGCGAGGCGAGTGCTCTAACCACTGAGCTACAGGACTCCACCTCCACCCACTGAGGCCAGAGGTTGTTCTCACCTTGAGGAGCTCTAGACTGGCCGGGCCTGACCCGAGAGTCAAGCTGTCGTCCAGCAGTTCCCATTCTGTCCAGTCCAGGTCCTCCTGATCCTCCAGAACCTTGTTCAACAGTTCCAGGATGGCCTCTTCCTCCATCAGTCCGCAGGCCCCAGGCCCTTTGCTGTCTGCTTCAGCTCTGGGCAACATCCACCAGGCAATGAAAGGAGCCACTGTTCACGACTCCCACAAACATCCTCAACACATGCTGCTCCCTCCCGGCCCCACGTCTGCCTGCACAGCCGCTCCCCGCAAACCAGTCGCTTTCAGCTCCCCTCCCTCTCTCTCTCTCTCGCCCCGTCTGTGGACCTCTCGGCTGCGGTCTTGTTACCGCTGCAAGCCAGAGCTCCGGTAAACAGCCGACGACACTGTTTCCTCTGCTCTCTGCTGTGTTGTGGTAGAGTTCCTCGCAGGCTCACGCACGCACGCACGCACTCACTCACTCCAGGTTGCTCCTTCACACAGTGCTCGCTCAAGCACCAGCCCAAATCCCACACAAACGCTTCCTGAACTACAGGGAAGGCTCACTCACAGTCTCCGCCTGTACCTCACTGCTCCCAGTGGAATGTGCCCCCGAGCTGCTGGAACCGGTGCGTGAGAGTTCTACACTGTCAGCCCTCACCAACGTTGAGGTTGAGTCTCTCTCCCTCTCTCCTCTGGCAGCGCAGGGCATGGGGATCCGGCCAGAGTCAACAAACAGGGCAAACAGTGGAAAGCAAGGCAGCGATCACTTGTTATGCTGCAGCAACCGTTTACTGTAAGACTCAAAGCTTCTGTTCTTCCTGCTCGGAGTCAGTCTACACCCCCTGTCACCTCGCAGCTCCCGCCTCAGCACCAGCTATATTTATACACACACACACACAGCTTCCTGTGACACGCCTGCAGCCAAACCGAGCTGCTGAAGCCCTTCAACGGTCTGCAAATAGCTAACCTGGAATGGTTTGCCACTGCCCTCCCTCCCTCCCTCCCCTGACACACCCCGGAGAGAGACGAAGAGAACAAGAGGCAGGTGTGCTTTAACCTTTAGAGAAACGAGCACTGTGTGAAGGAGCAACCTGGAGTGAGTGAGTGAGTGAGTAAGTGAGCCTGCGAGGAACTCTCCCACAGAAAGGTGGGGCAGGGGGATGGCAGTCATACATAGGTGTATATTGTGGCCCAACGCAGTAGTCACTGTGCGCACTGTAATGTGCCAAAAAATAGCCATGAAGTGAGAGACCAAATTCACTATTGATTGTTGGCCAGGACACCATGAGAGACAGAGAGAGAGAGAGAGAAAACCTCCCTTCTCTTTTGGAATAGTGCCAAAGGGATCTTTAACATCCACCTGAACAGACCCAGATAGGGACCTCGGTTTAACGTCCCATTCAGGGGAAGGTACCTTTTGATGCAGATCATCGTGTTAGCGAGACTCGCTCTGCACCTTTACTGGTGGAACCATCGCTGTGTGAGAATGCGTGACCGAGCTGTGCTGTGGTGGCAATGGTCGCCCACCATCTTCTTGCCCACAGCTCGGACACACATTCTCACAGTGATGGCGCCACCTGCCAAGCTTGTAGCAGTCCGGTTTATGAGCCAGGCAGGTCCGCAGTATTCTGGGGCACTCACAGCCCAGCCTGGCTCATCGGCAGGACTTGGGAAGCGCAGACCAGTCACTGTGACATGGATTTTCCTTCCCCACTGGCAACATATGTGTGAAGTGTCAGTCTGGTTTGGTTGTACAGTCGATGGGTTTCCCCTCCTGTCAGACACCAGCGGAGCAGCAGCAGCAGATGTAGTGACTGTTGGGAGGCCTGAGCAGCAGACACTGAATCCAACTGGATAGTGCGGCGTCACTGAGAGCAGCTTCTGCCCACGCCAACCATTCAGGAAGTGAATGGAAAATAAACAGGAAGTGCTGGTGTCACAATCAAACTGAAACAAGGAGAGAATTAATAACCCTGACATCACCGTCACAGGATATACTGGAAAGTGGAGTGACTGTGCATTTTATAGTCGAACGCAACAACAACTTGGATTTATATAGCGCCCCCCCACGCCGGGCGGCGTCTCAGAGGGCTTTACGTTAACGGATCCCGGGGCCGAGCCGGGGGGAGGAGCCAGGAGAGGGGGAGGAGCCAGGGGAGGGGAGGAGCCAGGGGAGGGGAGGAGCCAGGGGAGGGGAGGAGCCAGGGGAGGGGAGGAGCCAGGGGAGGGGGAGGAGCCAGAGGTATTTGCGGAGACGGGCGATGCGTCGGAGGTGGAAGAAAGCGGTGCTGGTGAGGGACCGGATGTGGGGGAGGAAGGATAATTGGGGGTCGAACCTGACGTCTAGGATGCGTATGGGTTCGGAGAGTTTTAGTGAGAGGTCGGGCAGGCGGAGGAGGTGAGAGCCATGAGATTTTAGACGGTGACGGGAGCCAAAGAGTATGGCTTCCGTCTTGTCAACGTTCAGCTGAAGGAAGTTTGCGCTCATCCAGCCCCTGAGATCTGACAGGCAGAACATCGGGGGACTGGGGGGGGCGCAAAGAGAGGTGGAAAAATAGAGTTGGGGGTCATCTGCATACATGTGGAAATGTACCCCATGTCTGCGGATGACATTCCCAAGAGGGAGCATGTAGATTAGAAAGAGGAGGGGGCCAAGGATGGATCCTTAGGGTACCCGCAGGTGGGAGCGGGAGACCCACCAGTGTCCCACAAACTGCCCTGGAGCGAGTGACTAATTTTATCTGGGGAATTGTTGGCCAGGACACCGGGAGAGAGAAACTTCCTTCTCTTTTCAAACAGTGCTATAAAATCTTTAACGTCCACCTGAACAAGCAGACGAGACCGCAGCTTAACAGCTCATCCAAAGGAAAACATTCGATAATATAGCATGCCCCCCATCACTGCACTGGAGTGTCAGCCAAGAGACTGTGAGTTTAATGTCCCAACGTGGAGCTTGAACCCACAACCTTTCGACTCAAGAGGTGAGACTACTACCAACTGGGCCAGGATGACCCCTAATAGAGAGAGAGAGAGAGAGAGACTGAGCGAAAGAGACAGAGAGAGGGAGTGAGTTAGAGAGAGAGAAAGAAAAAGAGAGTGAGTGAGTGAGAGTGAAAGAGAGTGAGAGAAATCAGACCACTAAAATGTCTGATTCAGGTCACCGCTGTACCATTTTGTATTAAAATAGGAATATATTTTAGCACCACTTTGGCAGGAAATGACACTTGCGTTGATTCCCGCGCTGAGCAGTCTTGCACACAGGAAGTGGCTCCGAGGGTAACCAGGAATTGGCTATTTTCTTGCACTTCATTTCAAAGCCGGTTCTGAGCTGACGAGACACAGGCCACATATATGGGGATGAGTGTGTGCTAATTGGTTGCCCGCATTGGCCCTACCTACAGTCACGACACTCGACACCAATTCTTTGCGATGCACCTTCAGACGTTTCAGAGCCCAGAGACATTATCAAATGCTCGGATCACGATCAATATCTTGAAGCAAGCTTAGCCCGCTTCTTAGTAACACATAGTGTAAGAAAACATTTGAGACAAATGTTAAAAATCACTCGCTGAGTACAGAATGGAAATGTCTCTGGCGGACACACACACACACACACACAGTGCAGCAACAGCACTCGCTCTTCTGAGACTGGGACTAAGGTCTACATTTCTGGTTGAAACGGACGGAAGCTTTACTCCACCTCCACCCCACATTGTGCTATGTGCGAATTTTGGGTGGGTGAACACAATGGAATAGAACAGGCGTCAGCTTGGCTCAGTCACCAGCAACTTGTTCCTCCGACTGAGAGGGTAGTGGGTTCAAGTTCCGCGTCAGAAACTTTGAGGTCGTAGACAACAACAACTTGCTTATAGCACCCTTCGCGCGGGGTAGAGCCCCGGAGCATTAGACTAGGCTGACGTGCCAGTGCAGCGTCGGGGGAGCGCCGCATTGTCAGAGGTGCCGCCCTTCGGAGGAGATGTTAAAAATCGTAAGTCTAATCAGGTGGACGTTAAAGATCGCATGGCACAGTTCGAAAAGAGAAGGGAGGAAGCTTCCCTTGGTTTCATGGCCAACAACCCCCCGGGTACGATGGGGAATGCGGCTGTGCACAAATTGGCTAGAATTACACAGCCACTGCACTTTACAGCAATTACTGTGACGTGCTTTGAGATGTTTCGATGTTAAAAGACGTTGCATTAAATGTGTTTATTAGATTCTCGTCCTTCCCTTTAAAGTCATCCAGTCTTGCTCCTCCCCATCTCTGTGACCTATCAAAACCTCCCCAACCGGTCCGCTCCCTCTGTTCCACGTCCCTCGCTCTGCCTGCTCCACTATCACTGATCAGGTCTTCAGCCATTCTGCCCCCACCCGCTGAAACTCCATCCCGGAGCCCCTCCGCCTTGCCCTCTCCCCTCGCCTGCTTCAAGCCTGAGTCAAGACCTTCCTTTTCGACCGTGCCTCTGGTTATCTTCACCAAAACACCCCCCCATCCAACACTCCCCCAACACAGACCAGCGCCCCCCCAACACAGACCAGTGCCCGCCCAACTCAGACCAGCCCCCCTCCACCCCCCAACACAGACCAGCCCCCCTCCACCCCCCCAACACAGACCAGCCCCCCCTCCACCCCCCCAACACAGACCAGCCCCCACCTCACCTCCCCCAACGCAGACCAGCCCCCACCCCACCCAATACAGACCAGCGACCCTCTTCCCTCAGCACAGACCAACACTCCCCTCCCCCTCCAGAATGGACCAACATTCATCTGTGCCCCACTTAAGCAGATACCACATCCCCCACCCCAGTACGGAAGGAACGGGAGGGACGAGGAAACAGCTTATCGACTGATCATGGAATTATTCAAATCCTAAGGAAATTTTGCCACACACTTCCTCATAGCTTCTGCTTTACAAACAGCCACAGGTCACAACCTGGACAGGTTCCAGCTGCACTCTGCCCAACACGAGGCAAACACACACACAACACACTCAATCCACGACTGTTTGCCCTTTGAGACATCTCAATGACGTGACAAGGCGCTATATCATGTGCAACGATTATGATTATTATTCACAAAAGAGTCAAGAGATATGAACATGCACACACACCCTCTCTTTCTCACTGAGAGGATTGCGGAGAGAAGGACTGATGGACACAGACGTGCACAGTAACCTGTAGCGCTGAGCCACTTTTCATTCATGGAATGTGGAGTCCTGTAGCTCAGTGGTTAGAGCACTCGCCTTGCAAGCGAGAGACCTGGGTTCGACTCCCGGCAAAGGGCGAAACCTTGGGCAAGTTTACTTACTCCACACGCCTGATAATAATCCCTCAAAAAAAACAATAATAAATTGGTCATTTGAATCCACGGCTGTTTGTGGGACACTGATGTGCGCAATTGGCTGCCGCATTTCGCCCACAAATATACAGTCCATTCACTTTACAGTTTATTCTGTGAAGCGCTTTGAGACGTCGAGAAGACGTGAAAAGCGCTATATCAAATGCGAGGATTATTATTATTATTATGGGCTGTGATCTTATCAGCTGTGTATTAGAGGCTGCGCGTGTCTCTCGCTCCCCCCAGCGCTATGTATCATCAGCAGGTGTGACATCCTGCTCGAGAAGGAATAAACAACCTTATATAACAATTTGCTGGCGAAAGAAGACCAGGGTCCATCTAGTTCGCCTTTCACCCATCCTGGCAGTCATTTGACATGTCGTGTCCCAAACTATACACTCTTTCCCCAGACAGTTCTTTCTAGCAGCAATCTATCTCATTTATTCTTGAAATAAATGAGATTTTCTGCATCCACAGTCTGTCTCCCTAGGCAGCCTGTTCCATAAGTTTTTTGCTCTCTCACTGAAGCAGTGTTTCTGCAGATTTG